CTTCAAACACAAGGAGAGACACTGTTTGACTTGGAGACCCCCTTCATCAAACCAACGCTGGACACAAATAGACCACATAGCAATAAGCTATCGTTGGCGTGGGTCGGTAGGAGATTGTCGCTCCTTCTGGAACACGTGCGTAGATACCGACCATGCACTGGTCCGCGCTCGGGTGTGCTTACGACTGAACGGACGTAGGAAACAGCTGGCGGTAAAACCATCACGTCCCCAGCTCGATCAGGAAACTAAATCCGTATTTCAGGAAGAACTAGCTAAACACATATCTGTGTTCGACAGCTGTGCTCACCCTGAAGAAGCTTGGAAAAATATCCAGGCAGCCATAGATACAGCTGTAAAAGCTGTGAATAAGGTAAACCCAAAGGTGAGTAAAAACCACTGGATCTCCACCGCCTCATCCGAACTGATAGATGCTAGAAGACTTATTCCGGCGAGCTCCGAATTCAATGAGGAGCGAAAGCTGCACAAGAGGAAACTTACGAAAAGTCTCCGCAAGGACCGTGAACAGTGGTGGGCGACAAAAGCCAAAGAGATGGAGAAAGCTTCGAGGATAGGCAACACCAGGCAACTCTTTGGACTCATCAGGGAAACGGGTGGGAGAAGACAAATCATTAGTGAGACAATCTCGGAAAAAAATGGCACTATAATTAGCTCCAGGATAGACGACTGGATCGTTGGAAAGAGCATTATGAGGAGCAGTTTAATTTGCCCACAGCCACGCTCAACCTTCCGAGCATCCAACACCTCCCTGAATGGGATATAAACACAGGTCCTCCGTCACTAACTGAGGTTACTAAAGCTGTCACCAATCTGAAACTAGGCAAAGCAGCGGGACCTGATGGAATGACTCCAGAGGTATTTAAGTACGGTGGAGACAGCTTACTGTCCGGATTAACTGAGGTACTAGGCAGCGTCTGGGAATCAGAAGAAGTCCCATCGGGTTGGTGTAAGTCACTGATTATCCCCATATACAAGAAGGGAGACAAGTCTTCCTGTGATAATCACAGAGGGATTAGCTTGACTAATATAGTATCTAAAGTCTTAGGCTCAATAATCATGCGTAGACTGAGTGGTGCTCGGGAAGCACAAACACGAGAGAGCCAGGCAGGCTTTAGACCAGGAAGAGGGTGTATTGATCATATCTTCACCCTCCGACAGATTCTAGAACATAGGCATTCCTACCGGCGTCCAACAGTCATTATATTTCTTGACCTAAAGGCAGCATTCGACTCTGTCGATCGGGAAGTTCTCTGGAGATGCTTGGCTGTAAAGGGAATTCCGAGAAAATATATTGCACTGATTAAGGCACTCTATTCGTACTCATACAGCCAGGTGAGGGCTTACGGCGAGCTGTCATCTGAACTGATGACGACCAGTGGTGTCCGTCAAGGATGCCCATTATCTCCTTTTCTATTCAACTTCATCATAGATGTGTTAATGGACTTAACCCTAGGTGACTTCAGCGACTCAGGGATTGACTTGCTACCGGGAATAATCTCGTTGACTTGGAATATGCAGACGATATAGTCCTTCTAGGCGAAGACGCTGACGAAATGCAGAGTCTTCTAAACACCTTGAGCCGCAATCTACGAATGTTTGGCATGCGATTCGCTCCCGCCAAATGCAAGATGATGTTACAGGACTGGACTACATCGACGCCTAGTTTAAAAATAGGAAGTGAAGTGGTAGAGCACGTTGACCGCTTCACTTATTTGGGAAGTACCATCAGCCCCAACGGGCTGATCTCTGACGAAATCTCAGCACGAATACAAGGGGCTCGTTTCGCATTTGTTAGTTTACGCCGACTCTGGCGTAGACGAGATGTTCGACTATCGACCAAAGGGCGGGTGTACTGCTCATCAGTCCGCTCCGTCCTCCTTTATGGTTGTGAGACCTGGCCACTGAGAGTGGAAGACATGAAAAGACTAGCTGTCTTTGATCATAGGTGCCTGCGTTCTATTTCCCGTGTAAAGTGGCATAATAAGGTGAGCAACATGGAGGTTAGGCGTAGAGTTCTAGGTAAACAGGGGAAATCAATCGACGAAGTCGTGAAGCTACAAAGACTGAGATGGTTAGGACATGTGTTACGTATGCCAAGCCATCGCCTCCCTCGACGAGCAATGTTAGCGGATATAGGGTCAGGCTGGAAAAAAGCTAGCGGCGGTCAAACAAAAACTTGGCATCAGTCAATGAAATCCACAACAGTTGGTCTAAGCCACGTAGGAAGGTGTAGACTTCCAGGCTGGGGTCCTCGGGACGGTAAAAATCTATGGTTGGAAACAATTGGTGACATGGCTCAAAATCGTTCTCAGTGGCGCAGATGCATCCACTCCCTGTGACTTATGATCTTCAATGAAACTGTTTTGTATTTCTTTATTACTCCTTTGTCTCACACCTCTGCTCACTGTTTCTATTATGCTTTTCTTGTACTTTCTTCTCTTGCTTCGCGTGCTACACGGAATGTGGCGACTTGAACTTCCGCACATTTGTGCAAAGTTCTATGTTGAAAACAGACATACAGACAGTCATTTGTCCGCAGATGTAGTCAATAGTTTCCATCAGAGGGATTTAAATGAGTAAGAATGTCATAAAAGGGTGCCGTTTGTATGCAGTCTCTTAAAAAGGTCATTAAGACATATCTAGTATGCAACGGATTAATACTCTTGACTTATGAAATTTTCTTAGGCGATGCATTCATGCAACGATTCTTCTAAGTAGACCAAACAACATCGTTTTCAAATTTTCGCTACTATTATTGTTATTATTATTACCATGTGAAATATACGGCTTCAACAGAAAATCTCCGTTTTTATCCTGTTCTATCCAGTCATTTCTAGTTAGCTCCATAATCTCCAATAAGCTGTAACCTCCCCCCTAACACTATCTCTGCTATGTCAAACCCGGACGCCTAGCTCATCGTTTCCTTTTCGCGTTATGTTTGGCGACCTGACAGGCTTGTGATGTCACTCATCAGTCTCTTTAGAGTGTATTCGATTCACCTCCATTTCCTTAGACATATTTGTCGTTTTTTGGCGCTTGACTGGTTCGTTGCTAGAATTCTTTGTTGTAGATCCATTTTGGCTGGCCATCCGATGGCAGATGTTGACGAAAGTTTGAAGCCTGTTGGAAATGCTTTCGGTGAATAATAAAACACATTTACTTTTTTATGTGTGTATGAAATATTGGTGAACACAGTATAACTAAAATCCAAATATCTATAGGAGGAATGCGGTTCTTCCATAATTTAGTATTATGAATAATGAGCTAATTAGAGGTTGACATGAAGTTGTACTTGAGTTGAAAACTTAAATATATTTTAAAGAAATGTTGAAGAGGTATAATTCTTGATGATATGTGAGCAATCATCTAGCAAATATGTTTTCTTAAAACTATAGGACTGTAATAAGTATTGACTTATACGTGAGGTGATAAGAAGCCACAAGTAGTACATTTCACTGAACACTAGACTTAATATTGAAAATTGGAGACTCCTATAGAATTAATCATAAGATGGTATGGCCAACTGTGTCATTTATAAGGGAAAAGCCGTGACAGGAGCACATTCGCACTTCCAGTGTCCTATACACTAGTTGATAAGTAGTTTTCTATTGCGAGTAATTCATTTCCAAACGGGATAATTTTGAGAATCCCAACTGTAATTACTATTCCCCGACTGTTTCAGGCCAGTTTCATCAAATAACCTTTGCTGCCTTCTGCAAAATCAGTAGCTCTTTTGTCTGATTAACCTCTTGAAAAAACTCTTTCGTTCATGGAACTGTGGTCTCTGGATTCTGTTTTCCGCTGGTGTACCATTACTTACTAAAATGGGGCTGTATGCAGCTGACAGTTACTGATAAGATGAAATTCACACTGTGTATTAAATTACTTCCCACCTACTGTTTTATTCCACGGTGCTGCCTTATCAAATGAGCTGCTTTTTAAACTTTACAAGACTAATAAATGCGAAAAATATACTTTTCCTGTTTGACCAAGGAGTGATGTTATTTAGCAAATGGTTGAGAAAAAGGTGGTACTGCACAGGTGTTTCGTCCTGGTTTGTGGTTCTGCAACAGTACTCAACCATGATGTCACCCATCAGGGATTGAACCCAAGACATCCAGGTTACGAGATCTCTTTGTCATTTCAGCCACTGGGACCGAATCCAGTGGTCTCTGAATTCTCAGTTCGCCATTTTTTAGCATCATGCCATTCAATGGCTTTCGGTGAGTATTTGTTCTTACAATCGACTTTTTGGGGCCCACTAGTCATGGCGTCTCATTATACTTCCAGACAGTTTAACTCTGAAGTCAGTCACTTCAGATTAATTTTCTAGCTTCTGGTTCCAAGTTCTACCATGGATTGGTATCGCTTAAAGAACTAGGAAGTACTGCACAGCGGTTTCTTTCTCCTTTTTTAGGACTCTTCCACAGTAGCACCCATGTTTCCGCCCACCGAAATTAGGAACTTCAGGTTATAAGACAAGCTCGTTGATAATTGTCAAGATGTAGCTTATAAACTTAAGCATTCGACTTTCAGACAATAGATCCCACCTACATCAACTTAGGCAACTGGGTTGTATTGTCCTAATCTTAAAATAGGTGTCGATGTCATCCTAATACATGAAACACCTTTAGGGATACACATGGATACCCCTAATGATTTAAAATTTTAGGTATGTGTCTGTCGGCATTAAGTTTTATTTTTTTGTAGATCTTGTGTTAAAATGTCGCGTTTTTGTGTTTGTATGTGTGTGTGTGGGTTACAGATTAAATTACTTGAAGTTGTTACCTCACAAACTGTAAGTTGACATTTTCGGTTCACTGTTAAAAGAATAAATGAACAGGGATAATATTAAGTAAAGGATCACTTCATAAAATTTTACTCTTCTTTTTGTTCACGGCTTGACTCAAAAGGGAAATCAATAGCTTGAATTATTCAACCCCTTCTCATGTATCTCTTCTTTTCTATTGTCTTTCAACACTTCAACAAACACATGTTCTAGCTATATCACCGCCAACACCGACTTGTGAATCAATGAAACCAGGACATGGTGCTGCATGGGATGCATCGACTGTTGGACCACCAGGCCAATTCGATCGTAAACTCAAGCATTTCTCACGATCAATAAATATACTATTATTTTTAATAGCTAATTCTGCTTCTTTAGCACTTTTTAAACGTAATAATTCTTGTAATATATCTTCAGCTCGACATAATTGTTGTTTTAATAATTTGATAGTATCTTTGAGTTGAGCAACTTCACATTTTAATCTAAAATGTGAATAAATAAAATATAAGTCAATAAATTAACTACATAGAGGCTGTGTAAAAGGAACCTAAAACAACAGGTCAGTATTCTTACTTTTTTGAGTTCTGCACCTTTTAGATATAAAATAGGGCGTTTGACTTGTATGGATAGAGTAATCTGCTCAAATGATGATCTTAATGAAGAGCTTAAAATTATCGATGAATTACTTAGTGAAAGAGGTTATTTTGGTAAGTTCATTGGTAAAAATAGTAATTCAGTGGCAAAGCAAGCCAGTATAACAACAGCTCCGAAGAATCCCTTGTTCATAAAGTTGCCAGTTTTTGCTGACCAAACGTCTAAATGAATGCCGTAGAAATAGTATTCAGTGCGAAAGAAGTTCACTGTCCTTTCACAACCAATTTAATTTTACTCTCAGCAACTCAGAGTGAACCAACCTTATTCACCTCCTCCATGTGTCTATCAGTTTGGCTGTTCTTATGCAGCCAGTTATATTGGGCATACACAAATAGACATATTCATTTACCGAATTCTAAATGTCATCCTGCGTGACTAAGTAATGGATAGACAACATCTGTTTCGGTTACAGGATTTCATCATCATTTCATTCAAATCCCTACAAACCAGTACTTGAATATCAATGAGATGCTTACTAGCGACTGGCCATATTCAGGTAGGTAGTTAACTGGGATTCTAGTGGTAATTTGTGACTAATAGAGTACAGGATGTCGGGCGTGAGAAAAATACTCGCCGAAGACATTGACTAGTGGTCGCACTATGTTATGAATTGGTAGGAGCTGGAATTCATGGGCTGGCCATTTGATGGGGTCCCAATAGCCTAATGGTCTACGAGCTAGCTTTGTAACCAGAAGGTCCTGAGTTTGAACCATGGTGTTGAGTGCTTACTGATGAAGAAGAGTCCCAAAACTAGGATGAAACATCTGTCCAGTACTCCGTGCAGGTTTTCCTATGATTCTCTAACCAATATCGGCTCGTGATGAAGTTCTGCAACCAGTCACTCAAATCCGATCAACCAATACTTTAACGTCTATTTAGCAGGTCTGTTTTAGCACACCTTGTAGATAGTAAGCATAAAGTTTGATATTAATAAAGCATTTAAAATTTTCTATAGCGTTCCGACCAATATTAATTCTGCTTTATGAGTTCGCCTTGTACATTTGGATAAATAAAAACCCTGGAATCCACCTGAAGAAATCATACCTTGTGGAAAAGATATGAAACCGTAATGGACTTTTTAAATTATTTCGGAGAAGATTACAAGCTTACTAAAATGTGTTTGTACATAAATACTGACTGTGGATGACATCACTGAGACTTAGACTTAAAAAAGTTATGAGCCTTGAGCATCTTATTAGCTACTAAGTTTGCTATATATTTCTTATAGGTATTTATTTATTTATTGGTATGTCCTGAAAGATTTTGTCATGGGACGTTTTCTTCGTGAACAAACAGACATTTGGGAGCTCCAAACTTGTACAGATTGCGTCCATTCAAATAGTCATAGCTAGTAAAATGGCTGCAAGAAAAACATGGGTCTAAATTGCGAAGAAAAAACAGTTTAATAAAGTTATGACAGTCATTATTATTGATAAAATATATTCCTTTAGGTTCTAGGCCGAACAAAGGGCCTCCATAACACATCTCCATTTCATCCTGTTCTCTGTAGCCCTCTTTAGTAGACTGTGCCCACATACATTCATTTCCTCTTCTTCCAGCCTACTCCATGTCACCATCGGATCCATGCCCAGCATGTCGTCTTGCATTTGGATTCCACTGCTTTACGCGTGATACCATACAGTGGTCTCTTCATTGTTTATCCTATCCACCTCTATTTTCTTTGGCATATACTTTGTTCAATGGGCTCTTAGTTGGTTTGCTGCCTGCTAAAGTTCCTTGTTGCTAATCCTTTCAGATCGAACATCTGATCTTCAGTATAGAGCTATAACTGGCAGCATTTGATAAGAGTTTGCAATCTGTTTTAATGCTTTTGGTGATGCACTCGCCAAGTGCTGACACTATACGGAAGTACTGGCTGACTTGATATTGGTGCAGAAGATTTTCACACTAATTTTAAAGTAATGGACACCAGTCTTGCCTTCTTGATCCTGATTTTCACATCTTCATCTGTGCTTTCTGTGACTGAAACAATGCCGCACAAATAAGTAAAGGTAGTGACTTCCTTCAAATTTCTCCCGTTGATGGCAGTTGGTGTTTGTGTTAGTTGGCTGCTGGATATCTTCATAACTTCTTACTCCTCTTTCTTCACTTGAAATTCTGTCTTCGTGGTCCTTTCTGTCAGCATGCTGGTTTTAGTGTGTAGACCTTCAAGTTTGTGTGACATGAGATGCTAATTGTCAGCGAAGTTCAGATCTTTTTGTCGGCCCAACATATCCTTGTCTTCTTGCTCCCCATGGTCTGTAGCATGAACCAGTCCACCAAAATCATGAATAACACTGGTAATTGTAGGCAATCTTGTTTCGCTCCTGCCTTCATTTCTAAAAGCACGACTGTTCTTCCATTGTGGATTACCTGACATGTGACATTATCACATAGTTGTTGTACGAGTCTGATAAAGGCTTGAGGCACTTCTTAGTGTTGAAACAGTTTCCAAATCAGTTTGCCGTCAACTTTACTGAAGGCTTTTAAAAAGTCGATAAAATTGAGATGGAGATTTAACTTCCACTCTATGCACTGTCTGTTGATGAGGCGTGGCGTAGCATCTTGATCCGCACATGATTTGCCTCTCCTGACAACAAAGAGTAGATAAAATATCGTTGTAACTTCAATGATGACACCATACTGATATATCGACGCTTTCTACATGAATATTTCTATACTTTTGTTTCATTTATTCCATTATGACATCATTTATTTCTTTTCTGATTGATCAGTATGAAATGCAATTTTACTGAATCATTAGTATGCAATGTAAAATCAGTATTCTCATTTAATAATAATAATGAAAGGTGAAATATTTTGTAATGTGCTGGTTATGTCAGATAGTGGAACTGATTGAACAGAAACCCAAGATACACATATCATTTGTAGAATGATAATCACTGCAATTCTTGATTTATATCTACCACAGCAGATAAATTGGAGGAATATAAAAGGTGGACCTATTTTAGATCTCCTGAGGCAGTAAATCATTGAACGACGCAGTTATCACACATCTGATTGACACAAGATAACAGGCATGCACTTTAATTTCGTTCGAAATAATGCACAAACAAAGAAGGTCATATCTCCTGAAGTTTACAGAGGTCATCGATGTCAAGAGATTGAAATCTGAATTATGTATTCAAAAAGAAGCTTTTTTATTAATTTCTTTATATTCCCAGTGGAACATATGGCTTTGAAGTTTCGGTAGCTGTTGGATTTAATTTTACGGATGGCGTTCTTAGCCCCATGCCCAACCTTCCCTCTTTACTAGTCTTATTACTGGCATAGAGAGGTAAAGGGGTGTGTTGGTCGGGGGTTGAACCCTAAACCACCTGTGTGTTTTGATAGTATTTTACGACTGTGCTACGTTTAACCTCAACTGATAATGTCATCTTTTAAATGTAAATGCTTATTTGTTTTCATTCCTACTGAGTTACCCCAGCATTTAATAAGCGTCATGCGTCAAATGTCTGATATCTGACTAAATGACTTTAACTCACAATATTTGTTTGATATGACTTATGTAATCTTATAGTTTACGTACCTGAATATCTTTCTGCTGCTCTTAGCACCCCAATTTTTGTTTCATCATTCGAGAAACTCCGATCATATTAGACTTATGAGGTAGCCATCCCTGTCTTAACCCTGTTTTCACTTTAGAGGCATCTCTGAGAGTTTTCCATTGTGAATCACTTGTCATGTGGCACCATTATATATAATAGGTGAATGGGGTTTTTAAAAGTTTGGGACACTATTCAGTGTGTTTTAAATTTTACTAATTTACCGTTTCGATTCATCTATATACACATACCATAATCATTCTTAATTACTGTTCCATCTTTTCTATTGAACAAATTAAAGTATTATAGAATTATTCAATTATATTATTTCGACTGTATGCAGTTGACAAACTATACCGAGCAAATAGATAATCGATCTTTTGTTCAAAATTGACTGAGGAGACTTCGCTTCTATGAAATAAGTAGAGCTTAGTAACGTGAATGCTGTTACCGTAATTTTTACCTTGATATTCAATGATAAATAAAGATGTCAATTCATTGAGTGACATTGTGAAATCAAAATTTCATTTAAGCTCACTAAGCATTTTGCACACATGAGATCGATAAATTTCAGCGCATGCTTACACTTACTCGAGCGAGGTGAGCAAGCAGTTTTAATCCCTGTCATCTGACAACCAATTCATTTAAACCGATTACCTAAGTGATTTTTATTTACATATTTAATTCAGCAATATTTTTTTAATGTTTGTTGGAATTTCGAGGATTACTTTAATTAGATTTTCTTCAAGCCTTAATCAAGTGAATATGTAATTGCAGATCGGTGAATTTGTAGATAAAATATGATAACTGTTAAATGTTGTAAATATGTCTGTGATAACAACAACTACAATAATACTAACACTAATAAGGATAATCACCAAAAAAGTTAATGATAACAAAGGTAGAATCAGTTGACATAGGTGACGATAATAATAATAATAATAAAAGTAGTATGATAATGTTTCAATTTTGATGATGATGATGATGATAATGTTTAATTGGTTAAAAATTAAAGACAGGCTTTCTTAGTAATTGGTAAAAGGCATTTAATTGAATGAACCTAGTGACAGAAGGCGCCGTTTCATCTCTTGGGATTAAAATACAATGAAGAAAAAACACACAGTTAAACGAAAACTGGCTCTTCTCTGCAAATTTATTTATGAATTTCGGTTGTACTATCGTATTTATATAGAGTTTATCACGACAAGGGGTAGTAACAGAAGTGATGAGTTATCAGAAACATAGTTGTTATTATATTAGTCAATGCATAAAAGGAGTTGAATGTGTGCATTAGAGTGACGTGATTAGATGAGTAATTTTACAAGTGAGATGTAATTAAGCCGTACATAGAAACTAAGGAAATATAGAATTATGCAAGAGTTGTAGAGATATAGAATAGTTGTAAGGAGTTATAAAAGCAAAAGCAGAAAAATGAAGTCAGTAGAAATCAACAAGGTTGTTACCATGCCAGTAGAAGTGGTTGAATAATTTTCTTTTGTATGAATAGTTCCCGTCTCTCTTAAGTGAATGTCTAAAGCTTCAGAAATGCGAAAAAGGCAAAAGCCTACTGCTTTTAGGAGGTTATTCTTCTTTTTTTAGATTGCTTTGGAAGAGGCATTTGTTGATATAATGACCAGTGTTGACAAGGTGTTCCATTATCGCACTCCTAATAGAGTAAATACTACTACCTTTCTGCAACCATGTTAAGCGTATTCTCGAAAACTCTTAGACAGGATACGCGTCGAACGACCAATATATCTGGCTGCATAAGAATCGACGAACTGATATACACCCACAGAATTGGTCAGATGCGAGATTTTACCTTAAGCCTTTTGAAGACCAATGAAGGACTGAAGAAAACTATTCTTATCCTCGCTGCAAAGAATGTTCGCCTCAAAGATGATGAAATTCTTCTCGTAAGGATTTCACAGGTCTCCCTTAGCGATTCAGAGTAACTGGTGCTATTCATGCAAAAGTTACAATCTTGTTGATATCTACTAAATTCATTTTTCTCCTTTTGCTTTTATAACTCCCTATAACTCTTCTGTTTCTCTAGAACTCGTATATATATTTCTATGGTTTCGTTTCTATGTGCATCCTAATTACACATCACCTAATAAAATTACTCATCTTATCACGTCACTGGGAGCGAACCAATCAGGAACCGATTGTGAAACAAATAGGCAGGAAGAAATGGAGATGGATTGGCCATACGCTGAGGAAACCATCAAGTGACATCACTAGACAAGCCCTCGAGTGGAACCCGAAAGGGAGGCGGCGAGTTGGTCGTCAATGCAAGGGTGACTTGGAGGAGGTCATGCGAGGAGGAGATGAAAGCATGTGGACAGACCTGGAGCGGGGTGAAAAAGTTGTCAGAAAACAGAAGGCAATGGAGGTGCGCAGCTGAAGCCCTATGTTCCTCTAGGAACTAAAGGATACAATAATAATAATAATAATCACGTCACTCTAATGAACATATTCAACTCCTTTTATGCTTTGACGAATATTAACAACTATGTTTGTGACAACTCATCACTTCTGTTACTACCCTTTGTCATCAGAAATTCTATATAAAGACGATAGTACAGTTACAGTATCTCCTCGCAGAAATAGGCGTTTTGTTTTTCATTAATGTGTGAATGGGGATTATTTATGAAAATGTAATGAAAGTTGAGTTAAATTAGTAAACTCACATTCGTCTTAGAATTAACGAAATAATAGTTTGTCTGTTTCGTTTTCGATTCTTCTGATTTATTTTTCACTGACGTTTTCATCGATAGACAAATTATCACCGATTCGGTAAGGAAGTCACTTAAAATACTTGTATATCTGTTCACAAGCGGAACACATCATACTAGATTCCTCTTATTAGAAGGAATGAGAGTTGGTTGTACCATTCTCATACCTGGCTAATATGATTGTGGATAGATTTATATAGTCTTTGTAGATGTATACAAGCTGTTCATATGCTAAAATGTTTTCTGAGTTAATGTTTGCATTTAATTGGGTGAGTGCTAGCTTTCTTCATTTATATGGGCTTGTATACTATAGCGTTGCTATGCTCGCTAATCTTGCCTATAATAAAGCATTTAGCTAGTCTTGTATACGAGATGAATTCTACTGGGCTCGTCTATACTGATTGATGTGGTCGCTGATCTAAGTAACTATGATTACCGATACATAAATGTATGTACTAATGGAGCGAATGATCAACCGAGGGCTGGTTGTCAAGTTTTCGTGCTGGTTTGGTCTCAAGAGAGGCAGAGATAGGTGTATTTGGTTCTCCCAAAAACCACTGTATACATTTTCACTTGGTTGATGAATCATTCTGTGAATAAATTGGTTGGTCCTACCAGTATTCATATGCTCGTCTCAGAGACTGAGCCATACATATCTAAGTGCATGCCTTGAAACTATGATACCGAGAATCGCTCATTAAATCAGCTATGGTTACTTAGATCATACACACTACATTTATAACCGTAGTAGTTCTAAAGTTAATACACGCATGTATGCCCTTACTCCCATGAAATAGAGTGGACTTATTATAACATATTCAGCCTGAAGCAGTTTTGACTGTCTCTGCCTCCTTCAATATAATGTTATTACTATAACTGCATTGATCCCTTCACTGTGGTAACCTATGATGCCTTTATCAGTCATGTTGTAGGCTTGACTTTTATAACTGTAAATCACATATTTCTTTTTAACTTTGGATAACCTCTCACTTATTTCTGTTTTCCTTCAAGGGGCGTTTGTGTGACATAATGATGTACTTGGATACAGTGAAAATCACGGAGTACATAATTTGGTGGTTAGTGATTGCAGGTGAAATGAAAATTTTGTTAACAAGGGAGATTTGAACTAACCATCTTCGAGATATCAGTACGGTGTTCTGCCGCCTTTGCTAAAAGACCTAACTACCAAGCGGGTGATTATTTTACTGCGGTCATCTTGTGGCTCACTCGGTAAACTGCTGGATGATTAATTAATGGGTCTGCTGATTCCAGTACTTCTGCGACAGAAATTTCCATCTTACTTTCAATCATCTTGTCCACTGCATAAATAACAATTACTAAGTGGTAGTCAGCGTCCGTGGCACAGCGGTTAGGGCGCTCGCCAACCATGCATATGGTCCGGGGTCCGATCCCCGGCCGGCGCACTCCTTTACCTCGCTGAGCCAGTAGTGAGACTAGTGAAGAGGGAAGGTTGGGCATGAGGCTAGCAACCCCATCCTGTAAAAATTAACACTGCTACAGAAGCTTCAAGCTCCTAGTTTGGAGCCCTATGTTCCACTGGGAATGTGAAGGAAAAATTATTATTATTAGAACGATGAAATGGAGGAAATAGTATGAGACAGAAGTGGAAGCTTAGGAGCGATTGTGTGGTCATCTAAAATGGCCTACAGAGAAGACAGTGAAATGGAGATGTTCTTTCGAAGATTAATGCTTCATTTAGAACCTTAGGGAATAATAACAATATCTTAAAGTAATATTCACTTACTGTGTTTGTGCTGCATCACATACATGATCCATACCTGGTCTTTGTAATCGAATATTCAATCTACTTGTCGCTGTTTTAAGATAAGCTTCTTTGTCACGAATAGCATTTTTAATTGATTCAATCTCACGTTCTGTATCCATAATTTCTTGTAATGTCTAAGAGAAAAATCCAGAAAAAAAGTTGTAAAATAATCTCTGAATTTTTAAGGTAGCTAATATGACTGTTACCAGTGTGTCACTTATGTAGACGAATAAATATCCATGCATGCATAAAAACGGCTTTATTTAGTGTTTGACTTTCAGTATACTTAACTTTTGCTTAAATAATTTATTGAATATTTTGAGTCACACGGGATGAAATTGTGGTTTAAATTTGCCTTCGAATATACTTCATCTTCAGCTAAGAACGTAATGTGACCGATAAACTGATTTGGATGCCTAGGTTGAATCAATGCTGGTAGGCCACCGATGAGCTCGGCTTCAAATGAACGTAACAGCCGATAATTTAGTGCCTAGATTACTTCGATTTTAGTATCAAATGCTATTGTTTACTTTGAGTGATTTCAACTACTCATATTAATTAATCAGGAGTATATACCATCATCGAATTGTGCCTTTTTTAATTATTATATTTTTTTGTTTAAATCTTGTTTAATCTACCGAAAGTTTTGTAATTACGACTCAGTAATTTAATGTATAATTGTGATTTTGTTAAGTAGTTAAAGGGGTGCAACTAGTGTCATATGTGTCTAGTCATAGATACTTACCCTAATTTCATCCTACCAACCAAGTCCAAAATTTGATCAAGTGACCAGCCGTCGTGGTAGACTTTGAAATGATGCTAAATGCTAGATGGCTTGGGGGGGGGAATCGACAGGAAGCCTTGGACCTAGGTTTCTTGCTAGTCAGCACTTACCAGTCAGAAAGGCGTATCTGCAGCCTTGAAGGAATTCATATCCATTCTGAGATTCCTGCCGAGTGCCTTCAACAATCTAATGTCAATAATTCATAGTGTACCGTGATAGCGAGCCACGGGGCATAGTGGCCACATTGTAAACTTGACTTAGCTGCCAACATCATTAAAAGAAGGATCTCATTTCCCCTGGAAAAGACACGCCCTCCTGCTAGTTGAGAATAGTGTTTTCTATTCGACCATTAATGTTCAATTACCTGGAAGACGAGATCCCACAGCTAACCAACTCGGCGTGCGTTTATCACTTCACATGCTCGGGTGGAGTTAGACATGTCGGTCGTTCAACTCGCGTTTCGTCTAAGAGGGTGCAAGAGTACTATCATATATGGTTACCAGGAGAGGAAAGTGGAACTATAAGAAGCGCGATCATTGAACGTCTGATCGACAATGATCACCCTATCCCTACACCCCCAGCCTTTAATGTCCTCTACAAGGCGAAAAGTAATTTTCCTAAATCCCTACGTATCCCACTCCTTTGTATTTCTGAGGCTCTGGTCACTAAAACAGAGAAGCCAGGGCTCTTTATACGGAAAAAGTTCGTTCAACCCCTCCAAGTTTCATGGTATTAATCTTTCCATTCTAAAGTATGGTAATCGCTAATCATATTTTGGCTATACCTATTTTTCTTTTAATTTACTCAGTATTTATACTCTTCCTTTAATGCGTCAATCGTTACTATCATTATTCTCACTTTGAATTGTCCTCGGTAGTATATTACTCGTCTCACTTATCATTTTAAATCGATTTTATTTTTCAATGTTAAATTCTATGTTATCACATTTCACACAATGTTACGTAAAATTTTTTACTTTTATTCCATCTGCCTACTAATTCTATAATTTCACACCCCTTCCAACTTCTATACATTCTATGAACTGTTCTATATGTAGCATTAACTGTTTCGCCGCTTCACATCGAACTATTATTATAATCACAAACATTTTAATTGCATTTCACACTATCATTATTTTATGTGTTCACACATATGATTCAATTCCCACACTGGATGTAATTTTTGAAAAATCATAAATATACGATTGTTACAGCTTGACAATAAATTCGTTGAAAAGAGTCTCTTCGTTGAATAACTTGCTTTGATTTTCGATAGAATTCAGTCTGCGCCAAAGATAGGACTAGACACATTACACTAGTTACTGACTAGTGTCCAGTCAAAATATGATGCTAAATAGTTGAAGTCAATCACATAGTATTTGTAGATCTAGGCTTTCTACCTATCGTGGCTCATCAGTAAGACGGGTTTTGAATATCAAAGGAAATGGTGTCCCCTATAGGATTCGGATCTGTACCATCAGGTACTTGAGTACTAAGAATCAGTTGCTGCCTGGTGAACAGTCTAATTATCCACTACAGTCAAACAGGAGGCTTGTCTGAGGCTAAATAGCTTAGGAGTCAGTGATGTGGATTTGAATCTCCTAGAAAACATCAGTCCCATCAAAGCGAGAGATGCGGTCTGATGAAGAGAGCCAAAAACTACAAAACCTGGGACCATAGCTTCCTGCTGGCTGCCTCTATACATCATATAATAAGTATGACTACTGTTGATACACAGCTAATATCTAATCATATTCAAATAAATATTGTAAGTAGAAATTCAATCAAATGATAGCATTAAAACTTACACGTCCTAAACTCGACTGTAGTTTATTTCTTGCATCAGTTACTTCGCGTATTCGTTGAGCCAAAGCTTCATTTACATCATTCCAGTGATCGGAGAGATTTTGACTAATACGTGATAACCCATCACCAATATCTTCACGTAATTTTCGACTTGCAGCTCTTTCAGCACGACTTCGATTAAGAATATCTTGTACATGTGCTTTCCATGTCTCTGGAACTGATAGGCTATTGAATATAATGAAGGAAATATTTAACTAAGAAGGACATTTCTGATAATGTTGTTTTCTCTGGGGGAGAGTTGTTTAACTGCAAAGCTTTTATTGTGTTTTTTTTTCGGATAGCATCTTCAGTGCTAACTTTATTCAGGTAACTTGGTTCAGTATTAGCGCTGAAGACATTGTCGTCTGTAAGGACAATGAAGGCTCCACAATTTAATCACCCATTTCGGCAAACACGGCAAAACCTAAAAGACGCCACTATAGATACATATTACCTTGAAACAAAAAAGGAGATCTGTGGTTATAGATGGATGGCATGGCTTGGCGATGGCGTTAAATCGGGAATTGATACAAGTCAAAAATCACTGATCCCTAGATTCCAACCCAATGGGTGAATGGTTAGAAGGGTCAAATCAGGACCTGTAGGCTATGGTTAAGATACATTTTCGGGTCATAACTGAGCAGTGGTAGATGAGATCCTAGAAACTGGATCGTCGTGGTTTTCATTGATTCTGTAACTAATGATGGTTAATGATAACGTTTACAGTAAAATATTTGTTATTCCTCTTAAGATCTTTCATTTACCTCAGTAATCATGACTGGTTGTTTCAAGTTGTATACCAGAATGTCAGTAATATCTGGGATGCAATTACTCTCTTTTAACAAGCTTTAGGTAAGAAAAACCGGTTGTCCTAGATTCTTATGTTATATGTCATTAGATAAATAAACTCGAACTGTATAGACTATATTTAGTTATCAAAATGTCTGACTGTATTGTCATCGAAAATGATTACCAGTATATCACACGTCCCGCATATTCAAACGTGACTATAGCAGAAGCTATATAGAAGGATTGAACGTCGGTTATACCATTCTCGCTAGTATGATTATGGATAGTTTTCAACAGTCTTCGTAGATGTATTGAGGCCATTTTTAGGCTGAAATGGTTGACAGGGCTAATGATTTCATCTAATAGTTATGTGGATGCTAACTACATTTATAGGGGCTTGTTCACTATTGTGTTGCTATACTGGCTAATCTTGCCTATAATATAGCATTTAGCTAGTCTTTTATGCGAGATGAATCCTATTGCGCTTGTCTATACAGTGCATAACTGGTTGATGCGACCATTGATTTGATTAAATATGCTTACCTATATACAAATATATGCTCTAATGGTATGAATGTTCTGCCGAGATGAAAGCTGTCAAGTGGTTGATGCACGGAATAATACTGCGTGCTTATCTTGTCTCAAGAGTGGCTGGAATGAGTGTTTTCAGTTCCCCTGATCACCAAGGTATAATTAGTTAGCCAGAGGATATATCATTTTGTGAATAAACTGGTTGATCCTACCATTAGTCACATGCTTGTTTCGGAGATCGAGGTGTAGATTTCCGAGTACACACTTAAACACGGTGAGACGGTGAATTGCACATAAAATATGCTTTTATTCCTTATATCATGTATACTACATGTATAACTGCATTAATTTTAGAGGCAATCCATGAAATTATTAGTTTATTATAATAGAATAACAGCTGGTTGTTTCGGCTGTCTCTGCATACTTCTTTAAAAAAGGGTATCTCGAACGCATAGTTTGGCTGTGGAATATTCTTTGGTCACGTCTGTCTGAGGGTCTGCTTTTCATTTATCAGGATGCATTTTAAGGCATGGGTTAGGTAAGTACCTGTTGGCGCGTATACCATGTATTAAGGCGGATCGCGGGTCAGAGGCTATTTCCCACTATGTCCGGCCACTCAGCATAAATAGCAAGACCTAGATTTTCACCACAAGTGTTCAGTAAGTCAGGGTTTCCATATGGTTTATAGACTTGGCATGCCACGTAAAGCATTCCCAAAAGACTGATGTGAACTTTATCACAAGCTGCCAACTCTGCTCCACACTGAAGACTAGATGGCAGCTCAGTAAGAAAAAGCAGCGAGGAGCTCTGGCAGGCAGCAAACCATTCGAGAACCTACTGCTGAAATAATATGCTGAATAAAGTGGAGATGGATCGGACGGACAATGAGGAGACCGCTGAGTGGTATTACACGACGAGCAGGTCCTCAACTTGTTGAGTATGGATCAGAAGACTACATGAAGGAAAAAGTATGAGGAGGAAATGACAGCTTATGCGCAATCGTGAAGTCAGCTGAAGAGGACAGGATAAAATGGAGATGTGTTGCTAAAGCTCCGTGTTCAGTTGATGAGTTCTGAATATTAACGAAACACACATCTTAGTTTCAACTACTAGTTACTACAATCCATACAAGCAATTAAAGGTTCACATTACACTCTTAAACACAACTGAAATACGAAAGCATATACATAAATAATGAATAAAACGTTATAAAAAATAATTTGAACAAAAAAATGTTACCATTGATTAATATCTTCAATGCCTTCATAGTAATGTACACCAGCGGAACTATTCTTCATTCCAACTGCTGTTTCATCAATTTGTTGAGCAGTAAATTTATTCTTTAAGTCTGCTTCTAAATCATGCTGTGCTGCACGATTTAATCTATATCACAATTTTGTTTCGTTTTTATTTTTAAAGAAAAATAAAAAAGGTATGGATTATTTCAGGACTGTGTTTAGGAAAATAGTTCTCATTATAAACTTCAAACAAATAAACGTGTATGGGAAAACTTCTCAATGGATTAATTTCAGTGTAAATTTCGTCAAAATTCAACGTCCGTTATTTTTATTTTATTTTTGGTTACAGCTTGATTGGAGAGCTGTTGAAAGTTAAAGAGCATTGGATAGCTACTTGCTCCTGGTATGAGACTTTTCATCAGTATGAAGCTACCGCTACTACTAGGGATATAGGGCTGTACCTTCGGGTTGTGGAGCCACCTAATTAAGCATTTAGCCACTGAGTCTTAATTCATTGACATGTGAATCCTGATTTCTCTTATTTCGTGGTATGGCTCATCATCAAATGAGTGCCATCCTCACTTCACTCTAATATGAGGTATCCCCCTGGCAATCATTACTCATTGCAACTTCAGAACATTGATGTCTTAAGTGCTAATCACCATGCGAAAACTGAATTACGAAGTAGAGAGGATACCTGACTCTAATCATTAAGAAAATGTGGGAAATATTAAGCAACGTTACTGTAAAAATCTACATGATGAAATATTGCAACTCTAAAAGTGATCTTGAAGGAAACCTGTATATCAGTCGTAGTTATGAGGAAGAAGGAAGACAAGGAATGGCTTTCTGTGGCTTTCTCTCCACCTATTGCAAGTCTCAAAAACTTACGGTCATGTCACTGTTATCGACAACAAGGGTAGCGAAACGAGCTGAAGAAAACAAAACTGATGGAACTAGATTTAAGGTTAGTTAAATTGTTAAGGTAAAGATTATCTGTGCTTTGATTTAATTTACGAATAATCTCCGTTATTTCGCATAACGATTTTTTCCTGAGAATATTAACCCTCTTCTCGCGTTACCCTCCCTACGGAAGTTTTCTCATATTCAACGAAATTATAGCTTTATTTCTAAAGGTGTTACTCTACTTACTACTTGTGACCTCCTATAAGTAGCATGCAAAGGACAATTAAAATAAAACGCTTCTGAAAACTTACTCAATTTGAACATTTGCACGATCAATGAATGAGCGTAGTCTTGCCTGAGCATCTTGAACTGCTTGCACTTCCTGAAATGTAGCACGTATAGACAGACAGATAGAGGGCTTATTATTATTGTTATTATTGATTTGGATTCCCAGTGGGACAGTGAGATTCTAGAGAGCGTCTCCACTTCATTCTATTCTCTGCAATTCATTTTAGACGACCTCACGTTTCTCATAAGCCTTGATCTCCTTCTCTTATGGTCTCTGTCATACTGAGACTCACATCCATCTGGTCGTTTCTTATTCGGATTCTGCGCAAGGACATGGCGCTTGATGGCAGTCACTGGCCTCCTCAGTGTATTTTCAGTCTACCTTCATTTTCTGTGGTATATTTGATAGACGATAGGTTCTTGGTTGGTTCGTTGCCTATCGAGTTCCACGTAGCTAATCTTCAACAGCCAGCCACCTCATCTTCAGTATCGAGGTAGAGAAGGAAGTTATTGATGAAAGTCTGCAGCAACCTTTTGCAAATGCTTTCACTCACACATCAAGTCTCTGAACTATATAGAAGCACTGATCTGACATCACTGTCAAAATCAAATTTTGTAGATTATGCTGAGTGCGTCAGGCTTCCGTACTATTTTCGGGGTAAACAAGGTCTGTCTAACAGTGACAAAACATAATAAGTCTTCTTAAATAGCCGACTTCATAGCGCATTTCATGAAAATAAATGACGGCACATCATACTACTGCACTTTGTGATGAGTAGTCAAAAATTGAGGACTAGAGAACAAATAATTCTTTTAAAGCTCTCTGTTATTCTAGAACATTTAACATTTCTTCATGCTCTGTTTTCGTAAACTGTAACTTTTATGTAGTTTGACATTACCCTTTATTTGTTGTAAGACGATATTCCAATGTGCACTACTCACAAATAAATTTAAGTAGTTTACTGAGTAGCTATTTCAGTGAGGCAGTGATGTTTTTTGTGTCAGTGGAAAAGTCAATAAACAAGAAGGCAAGAACACTAAAAAACAGACGTCATAATTATTTTAAAAGTGTAGCATATAATGGCATTGTTATTTTTTTCCTAAGGAACATAACTTCTTTGATTGAACACTAGACAGTAACTAATGTCATGCATCTGGTCCTTCATTTGTGCGTCGGTGTTCAGCGGTAGAACACTCATCAACCACGGCTTGATCCTCGATCGACACACTCCCAAACCTCACTAAGTTGGTAGTAAGGCCCGTAAAGGGTAAGGTTAGGCAATAACCGTAATAAACCCACTCCGTAAAAAATAAAAGCCACTGCTATCGAAACTTCAGAGCTGTAACTTGAAGCCCTTTCAGAATGCAAAAGAATATAGAAAGTCCTTGATTTGGTACCGGCTGAATTCTATGCGTCCTATAAAAGGTCAGCTGCCAACTCCTATAGCTCAGTGATAGCGTCTCTGATTGCAGCGCAGGATGACCAAGGTTCGAATCTCAAAAGAGATATGATTTCATTCAAGATTGCGGGTACATATTAATTCTGACGAGTGCTTACAAGAACGAAACCTACACTGAAGTCTTCCTGTAATTACCTGCAACCATCAGACATGATTTATTTCCTCTACTAATCAAATTAGCTTCACTGACATTTAAGAAATCGAAACGTTAATAATAATTATGAGAGATTAGAGATTATAAGTAGTCTATTGGCATCTGTCCTGTAGATAAGTGGTATATGGCAGTTGTTTGCAGTAAGTAGTGCTTGATTCTAATGTATACTTTTCCGATATTAAGCAACCTTCTCATTTGACAACTTGAAGTCAAATAAATTTCTAAAGAAAGCAGTTCAAAACAGGTAGCCGTTTGAATAAGTTTGGACAGTGATAAATTCGAAGACGGAGTTAATTCGAAAAATATTGTCATATAGATGCGTAATACATTTTTAATGATCTTATCTTATTTATCTGTCAAATCAGTTTATATGAGAAATGGAAGACCAATTGGAACTTTTTTAAGTGATAAGAAATATAAGAATAGTAAGGATAACTGTTAACACTACTTTCGATAATAGAATCCAACAAGGATTGACAAGGTAAGCTAAGCGGATGGGAGAACATTTACTCAATGAATTCAGAAACAACTGAAATGTAATATCTTTGTAAACACAGATGACAGACTACCGAATTCGTTTGTGGCAGAACATCCAATTGATAGTAATCACAAGTCTGATGGCAGTTAGCTTCTGGATGAATCTATGGATCTGTTCTGTAAAATAGAGTTTGATGAAATAAAAGTACTTGAAAAGGGATAAAACTTCAATGCAGCTGTTAACAGATTAAAATCTGCAGACTTCATTCCTAGTATAGAAGTAGCATTATGTGAAATAGACAAAACTATCGTGGAACAAGTCGGAGCACAATGTGCCTTGACACTAAAAAATCAGAAGAAACGAAGAAGCAACTTATCACAGAAAGAAATAGCAGGTTTAAAAAGCTTGAGAAACGGCAAAAACCTAGTGTTTGCAAAGGCGGATAAAGGTAATAAAACAGTAGTCACAGACAAATCAGACTACATATACAAAGTCAGTCGCCATATGAAAACAGGCCCACATAAGGAAATTAGATAACCTGTGCACGCTGTTATCAATAAAATCACAAAATCTACTTGCGATCTAGTACGCCGTATGAAGTCATTTCTGGATGAATCGAATTGGTTTAATCTTATGCCTAGAACTAATAATCCTAGTAGAAAGTATGAGAATATAAAAATTCATAAAACAGGATACCCTATCAGGTCAGTAGTTGACTATAGGAACACCCCGACGTACGAGTTATCTAAATATTCAGCGTTAATATTATGCGGACACTTGGAAACTAATAGAAGAGAGAAGGACAGTGAAGCAAAAGATTATCCAGTGCACTGACGAGCAACAAAAACAGGAGCTGAATGCAAGCTACAATACACTGAACAAAAGAGTGAAGAAGAGTGCCAGGGAAGACAAAAGAAAATATTATGAAACCATGGCAAACGAAGCAGAACAAGCTGCAGGCAAAGGAGACCTCGCCACACTCTACCAAACAACTAGGAACCTTTCGGGCAAACGTTCGACACAGATTAAGCCAATAAAGGACGACAATGGAAAGTCAATCACCAAAGAGGTGGAACAGAGAAAGCACTGGGTTGAACACTTCAAAAGACTTCTAAATCGTCCGCCACCTACAACACGTCCAGCAATACCAACAACGGAAGCAGAACTACCAGTGAACACTGACCCCCCGACGAAATCAGAAGTCCTGAATGCAATCAAGATGCTTAAAGCTGGGAAAACACCGGGACCAGATGGAATCCCAGCAGAGGCTTTGAAAATAGACCCAGAGACAACAGCGGACTTGATGACACCACTGCTGGAGAAGGTGTGGAAAGAGGGCAAAGTACCCGAGGATTGGAAGAACGGATACTTATTCAAACTTCCAAAGAAAGGAGACTTAAGTCAATGTAAAAACTGGCGTGGAATTATGCTTCTGTCCATTCCAAGCAAGATACTAAGTCGCATCATCCTGGAGAGAATCAAACAAGCCCTAGATGAAAAACTTCGTCCGGAACAGGCTGGATTCAGGAGAAACAAATCATGTATTGATCAAATCGCCACTCTACGGATCATCATTGAACAAAGCTTGGAATGGCAGTCACCTCTCTATCTCAACTTCATCGACTTTGAAAAGGCCTTCGACAGCGTCGATCGAGAGGTCATTTGGAAACTACTTCGCTACTACGGGGTCCCATCGACAATTATACATCTCATCCAACAGTTATACGACAATGCTGCATGCCAAGTAATCCACAACGGGAAACTTACGGAAGCCTTCGAAGTGAGGACGGGAGTGAGGCAAGGCTGTCTACTATCACCAATGATCTTCCTGATTGCAATTGATTGGATAATGCGACAGACAACGGCAACCAACGAGGGAACAGGCATAAAATGGACTGACACAAAAGACTTGGAGGATCTGGATTTCGCCGATGATATATGTCTGATTTCCCATAAACTGGAAGATATGCAAGTGAAAAGTAACAAGTTGGCAGAAGAAGCATCAAAGATAGGACTTCACGTGAACATAGATAAAACAGAGATGATGAAGATTCCTAGCCAACATCAACAGCAACAACAACAACAGACAACAATCAGCATAAATGGGAAGAACCTGAAAGAAACAACCTCCTTCACCTACCTGGGAAGCATCGTCTCAACTACAGGCGGAACTGACGAGGACATCAAAGCCAGAATCGGAAAAGCAAGACAAGCTTTCATTACTCTCAAATCTGTGTGGAGGTCAACAGCACTCAGCATCAAAAATAAGATCCGGATTTTCAACTCCAATGTGAAGTCAGTGCTACTATACGGATCAGAGACTTGGCGAGTCATAAAGAGCATCTCAAACAAACTTCAAACCTTCATTAACAACTGTCTCCGCTCAATACTCAAGATCAGATGGCCAGAAAAGATCAGCAACAGGGATCTCTGGGAGCGAACCAATCAGGAACCGATTGTGAAACAAATAGGCAGAAAGAAATGGAGATGGATTGGCCATACGCTGAGGAAACCATCAAGTGACATCACTAGACAAGCCCTCGAGTGGAACCCGAAAGGGAGGCGGCGAGTTGGTCGTCAATGCAAGGGTGACTTGGAGGAGGTCATGCGAGGAGGAGATGAAAGCATGTGGACAGACCTGGAGCAGGGTGAAAAAGTTGTCAGAAAACCGAAGGCAATGGAGGTGCGCAGCTGAAGCCCTATGTTCCTCTAGGAACTAAAGGATACAATAATAATAATAATATTATGCTCCATTAGATATGCGTCAAATTCTAGGTCAATAAATTCCTGTGTAATGAAACACATACTAGAGGAAATTCAATTAGAAAAAGAATTAAAAAATGATTAATTTTGGCATAATCAGTCTATAACTAATATTCCCATTAATACAGCTCTGTAGGCTGTTAGGAATGAACCAAACATCGATCTTCAACTCAAAACTGGAACTAAGCTCTCGGTTGATGAAATAATATTAGGTGTTCAGTTATGTCTAACCTCCACAGTATTCAGATTTTAAATTAAACTATTTAAACAAACGAATGGAATCACCAATATCCCCAACAGTGGTAGTCATATTTATGGATAGTTGCGAACATAAGGCTTTGGAACGTTTAATGAGGCTCCTAGGTTATGGTGGAGATATTTGGATGACACACTCACAGTGTTGAAATCTGAACATATCCCCCCCCTCCAGTAGGAATCACAAGATTTATATCAAAATACTTTTTCAAGATTGCCTATAAAAAAGCCAGGGACTGTGAAACTAGATGATAGCCTTACGTAAAATTAATTTCCCCCTCTTGTGTATGTATCAGAATAAATCTAATATTACCCTTAATCCACAGTTATTTTTATTATCCTTATTATTCTTAAATCCCTTATCATTTTGTTTAGTTTAATTGGTCTCCCATTTTTCATATAATTTCACTTGAGAAGTAAATGTGTGATCAAATTGTTCAATTACTTGAAAATATTTTCCGGATAAATCCTATCTTCTAACAACGCTATCCAAATAGATTATTTACTATCAGACTAACGATAATCCTACATTCTTTGTGCTAGTTCAACGATATCTTTGATGCGATGTCAGTTCCAAAGTACACATGTAAACATTCGTTTTATCTGTCATGCAGTATGTGCAGAATAAAAAGTTATCCCATGTACATATATATACAGGGGGAGACAGAGAATCACAGAAGAACTGTATACAGACTAGTCACCAACATATACTTAGATAAATCCACAAAGAATGAGTGACAAAGAGTATAAAGTCAACCAACCAACTTTCAGTTGATTTCAGGTTGCGTTTGATCATAAACAGATATTATTACGACCGAAACTACCACCTAATAGATTATGAGCGAGTACTAGCTTACTGTGCCGTCTAATCTGTCCTAATCGCACGTCAACAACAACAACACCACCTGCTAGCGAAGACAAAAGAAAAGACTGGACGTCGTTAAGAGAGCTTTTGCTGTCTCAAACAACAATCAAAATTCTAGACAGAAACTCAATTTATATACAGTTAAAATGATCTTGAAATGCAGTAATTCAGTGATGCATTAAGAGCATTATTAGCCAATAGGAATCCAACAATCCAGACAGAGAGAAAAACCAAGGGCCCTCATCAGTGCGAGATAACTCTGCGAAATAGTTATTTTAAGGTTTTAGGCAAAATTAGACAAAACTAGGTGTAAATAAAAGATGTTAGTTGGAGAAGGATTGAAAAGTAGGACGTATCGGGAAACAGTCGCTTTCTAGTTCTCATTTGTCCTCAGAGATTTTTAACCAATGTCATTTGGCGAAAAAATCGCAATCGAAACTAGCAAGGAAGACAAAGAGTGGGTTTGTGATATACCCTAATAACGGCACTTATTGAGGCATCACTACGTTCGCCTACTGTCATAAGTAATGTATATTATTTAGATATTTGACATTAAATTATGAATTTTTATGATGCCATTATTTGGTCGACTTCAAAGCTCTTCCTAGTCCATGAATATAAATGTTGCTTCATAGTCATATCTAGGTCTCAGGCCTCCAAGTTATGGTACTGTACACGGTGTATTACATTAGGAATCCTTCGTTTTCACTGGCATTCAAGTGGCGCTCACTTAAACTGGAGTATTTCGGCTGTGTTATATCATAGGAGGAGGATTTCATATCGTAGTTAAGGCTGAAAAATAAGCTTAGAAAATACGGAAATTATTCAAAGAATCAAATGCAGATCAAGAATTATACTGAAAAGAAAATATCATGTTTTTTATCAAATTAAGCTGCCTACAGGTAGGAAGGTGGTCCAAGATTCTACTTCCAGTCGATGCGTCCCTGAGCGTCAACTACTTTACTAGTCGATAATAAGCCCAGCAAAGAGGGAAGGCTGAGCGTCAGGCTAGTAACCCTACTACCCCGTAAAGATAAAACCATGGATGCTGAAACTCAAAGGTTTTAAGCCTGAACTCCTATGTTCCACTCGGGAACCAAAAGAATGGAGAAGAGATCAGCAAAACGTTTAGTTTCATTCAGCCACATATTTGCCAATCTGTTGACATTTGTAAGGCAAACAAAATATGTTAAGGGAGCAAACAAAAAGTTTCTCTCATATTTCACAAATCACTTCAAATATAATTTTATATTCAGAACATACACATGTCATTAGAAATGGAATCTCAAGTTTTGTAGTGAAAATACTTATTTGCAAAATAAAAGGTTTAAAAGGATTTCATCATTGAGCTGACATAGGTCAGAGAACCATTGGAAAACCTGGGAGTACTGGACAGTGGGTCGTCTCGTCCTAGTATGGGACTCTTCATTAGTACACCCCACCCCCATGGTTCGAACCCAGGACTTGAATGTACGATTTATGTGACGTCTTAAATTGTGACAACGAAGAAATCAAAATGTAAGACATTTTCTGTTCGTGTGTCCTAATCTTGAGTGCTTTTTCAAAATGTGATGACACTAAACATATTCCCTAAACCTTCGAGCAATACAGTCATACAACATCTGACTGCCAAAAGTCATGAAGAGACATTATGAATTCCTTATTGATAACAAATAGACAACACAGCTCAAGCCTCTTGAAGTTATCATGCTTAATAGTTGTCAAATGGTTAATACTTGAATTATATATCTAGGACAAAGTCATAGAATATCTATGAACCATTGATAACTTAGCCCTTACTTTCTGGGCTCCAGGTTGTTGAAGTTTCAGTTATTGATGGAGTTATTTTACCGGGTGGGGTTGTTAGTCTTACTACGTTAGTCAGGCCTAGCCTCCTCAATTTTCCAGCCCGGAAGTGAACCTGAATCTGCCACGTGGTTGGACAACATTCTCCGAATGAACCATCTCCCTTTAATTCTAAATGTTGATTTCTTTTCAGTCTTACTTGGTGATGTCATCGCTTATTATATGTCTGATATTTGCCTAAGTGACTTTAATTAAGAATACTCTTTTGTGTATTTCGTTTCCATAATCTTACTACACTTGTCACCCTTTTTCGATACATCTTTATTCATTACATCTGGTGGACACCTTGTGGATACGGAACACAAGACTGAGAAAAAAATTCAGTCTTTACAGTTCTATACAATATATCACCTTCATTGAGACAGATTCCATACAAAATTTTCAAACATACGTATATGTTGAGGAAATGATCACTCAATCTTTCTCCCTCCCAAAGCCTTACCCACAACCTAGAGCAGTTATCCTTCCCTGTAACATTCGATGACTGCAAATATTATCTTTACTTATACTGTGAACTTTATCAGTATTATCAATATCAGACGGTGCTATAGGTGAATACTTTAATCTAAGTGTATCAAATAATGCACTTCTGTCAGTCGTCTACTGAAAGTCTGACAGACAGGATCTACAACAAAACTAGTCTATGTCGCATCAACCAAAATTGTATTGGGCATATGACGAATCATAACATCATCAGTCTTCAGTCAGCCTTAGTCTTCTTAATAAGAAAATGGATGGAATAAATTTTAAGGGCAATCCTTGAGCTACTCATACAATTCAGTAGTATAAGTAGATAGATAGATAGATTGACTTACTTCTAAAAGAGCTTTTTCAACATTATCATGTACTAAATCAGTTCCTTGTCGTTTCTCACGTTGATACAAGCATTCTTGTGCTATGTGTAGTTGATTATCCGTTTCAGCTAACAACTTCTCAGTAATGCGTTTAGCACGTATTAAATCATTATTCTCTTTAACTACTTTATCGATTTCATCAGTCAATTCATTCTCCCAGAATACAATATCTGATATACGATCACCAAGTACACGACTTGATTGATTCTGATTCATTTTAGTCCTTTCATCAGTATCATCAACCAATCGAATTGTATCATGTCGTAAACACTCTGAATCTCTTTGACCTCTATCATTAGCTTGTAAAAGCTGTTGATAACCAGCATACCAATCTTTTGGTGTATATCGTGTATACAAGGCATTATGTGCAGCTGAATACACAGATGGTACACGTATACCACAAATTTCACTAAGATCTGTTGTCGAGGGATCAGCGCTAGCAGTAAGGAATGCAACAGTGGATAATTTGGATTAGATCTAGTCGTTGAATAATATGTAGCTGGTCGAAAACCAACTGTTGATAAAATACGTTTATGTGGATATGGTGATGGACAGGCATATGGTGGTGTTTGGGTAATTTTGGTAATAATGACGCTGTACACGGTAGTTTTGAAACATTCTCTGGTCGTCTTACTGATGTTAAATAACAACTTGTTGGACTATGACCAGTAAATTCCATGCTTTTTGAGTTATCCTTTTTCTTGAGTTGTACTTCTATCTGTTTTCTTGTTTATAATACGTTGAATAAAGTAATTTAAATATATATTGAATATTGATCTTTATTTATGATTTATGCATGTGATAATTGATTAGATAATTTGTTTGCAGTATTCACATCTTTTGTTTCAATATGCAGTACATGCTCGGATATTTCTCTGAATGGAACTTCTGTGATTCTAAAACCATTTGAAACGTTAAATCTATTAACCTACTGATGTCAGTTGTCATTCTAAACGCTTACTATGATGCCACCGTATAGGAAATTAATAAGTAGTTATCAAATTAAATTTTATTACTACTAAGACGATGTAGGTGGTTTAGTGGTGGAGTAATTACCAGCTACCCATATGGTCCAACCCGCAGTCGACGCATTCTCTAATCTCACAGCCAGTAGTGAGTCCACTGAAGAGAAGTCGGGCAACCTTCCCCTCCTCCCCACCTTCAAAACCCACCATAACTACTGGGAATTGAAAATCGGCGACTAAAGTCCTATGTTCCACTCGAGATGTGAAGGAATGAACATGAAGTAAGTTGAAGGCAAATACTGTGACTGAAAACAGTTGTTGTCAATAAATAAGAGATCTTCACACGAACATTTGTCTTTGTTGGATTTCAATAAAGCAAAGCAGCAGTTTGTGCAGAATCTGATAGTGCAATCAACAAACCTGACACATTTTTAGTATAAAAGTCATGGATCCTACCTACTTGGACTATTCACTGACGACTACGAAATTTATTGACTTCACCATTGCGCACAATATGTAAATAAGAAGTTTCATTTCCTTGAAGTCGCTACGTAACAGCATTCACCGAAAGTCTACGTAGAGTGGACAATAGTTGAATTTCAATAGTACTTGTCTGACTGACTTTAAACAAACATCGGTTAAACCTCTGTTTTGCAGATCCAGAAGGATATACTCTACAGAGAAGTCAGAAGAAGAATTTTTGGTTCTTGGAATGTTAAAAGAAAAACAACTACCCTCAGAAATTCATTAACAGGTACGCAAGAAGTGAAGATTTAAATATGAAACGAATCACAGTGAACAAGAAGCCTATATTCATACAAGTCGATTTTAAACGTGATCATATTGTAGAAATAGTCCACAGAAGATTAAATACTTCAGAACCTAACCAGCAGACCACGTGATTCCAGTCTATAAATCAACATCCCCTTTGGCGCAGTCAAACGTTTATAGATACCCTTCTCATTTTAACTCTAATTGTGAATACAAATATACTTTTATCTGTTATAGCGGGCACGTTGAGAGAACAGAAAGAAAGGCATCCCTCAGATTCTCCAACTAATTGCTCAAAAGCCTACATGTCGAGGGAATAGACGCTTTCTAAGCTTATATCATCATTTTATACCGGGTCATTTCATAGCATAGTCCCGTTCAACAGACTTGAAGTTGATCTTAAATTGGAAAGCACATTGATCACTCACTCATCGTATATATGATGAAAGTTACACGATATATAGCGCGACCGCCAGTCAGTATCATCAGTATCTGTCTTCACATCCGACTTGGTGAGGTCTACAGGTCACGACCTCTCATTATTAGAACACTCTGCATGCAACTAAATCCTGTAGTTAATCAATAGTAAGCACTAAGTCTTCAATTGTTGGTGTTCAGGGATAATAGCGACCTTAAAATATATCACAACAGTATCAGAATCATCGAAAACCTGGCGGTGTTGGAAAACTGAAGAGTCTCAAATTAGGACGAAACGTCTGTCCGATACTCTTCATTGTTTCCATTTGCCCTGGAATTGATATCAAATCATAACTTGAATTCAGTTAGATCCCTACAAAGTAACACTTAGAAACCAAAGAACAGCCAACTGATCGCAGTTGTCCCCAGCTGGAATTGTAAACGTGTAAGTGAAGAAAAAGTCTTCAGACTCTCAGCCAGCTGGTTCTCGTAGAAGATCTGAACTTACTGTTTTTCTCAGCTAGCTGGTATATTATGGTATCTGTTAAGAGCACCTGATACTATAAATCAATGAGGTGATAATTCACTTTATCCTTATTTGTATCCAGGTTACAATATACTAACTACAGTGTCTATAAGAATGACAGTCCCAATTATCTTGCAAATCAGTGTTCACCCACATTCAACGACAAAAGCACCTGAAATTGATTTCCGACAAGTGTCATTGATTAACACATTGATTAACACCATCAGGTTGGATAGTGATTTAAGCGCCGATCGTATCACACTTGGCTCACTCTGTCTTTCGTGTATGGTTGTAGCAACCTGAATAGAAGTTATTTATGAAATGGAACTCCAATTCATGCCACTTAGTAATAATATGAGAAACATCATTACTATGGTAATCTGACTAGAAGCTAATCCCATTAACAATGTTTTAATGACATAGTTATTGAATAATAAACAGTACAGCTACTAAATTTCTTTTGTCAATTGAAGTGTTGCTTTGTAGGCGTTTGATTGGTTATAATGCGGTCACAAGATGACATCAGTTAGAGAAACACTGGAAAACCAGGGAGTACTGGACAATTGTTTCGTCCCATTTCGGGGCTCTTTGTCAGCACGTATCCATTGGATAGGTTCTCAGGAGCTGAATAGTCTACGAGCTGCCCTCGTAACCGGAAGTTTCTGAATTCAGACTTTGCACAGAAGTACAACACTTTAAGTTTAACACACTTTTCTAGTGAAAACAATTTACACCCATGTCACCGAATCGCCAGTCATTGTATCTTAGTGTTTCGAATACCTTAGACAGGTAGGTACACCTCCATACCTTACGCAATATAATTTTATATCAGCCAACACTGAATCGATTCATATGGTTAAAACATGCACTGAGTTTGTCAAGCCATCACTTTCCCTCTGAAATAGTTTCACAATGTCATCGAATGACTTCTCCTAACTTAACACTCTGTGCTTAACTTCAATATTTCTAATCATATTATATCATATAAAACGAGACACAAAACGCAGATACCTATGGTCAAAGATGGATAGCCTTTCAATACAAAGTTTTAAAACTACAAATAACATTTCTCCTTATCATCACATGTACATTCTTTATTAAAAGTGAACGTCTGTTTGTACGTAATGCATAATTTCCTATTAAGGCTATTTATTAGGTAGTTATTGTGGAAATACACACGGTTACTGTTACATATGTGTTATGATTTATTCAACAACCCTGCTGAGTCCATACTTATTATTTGTTTATGAAGACTTAAAGGTAAAACTTGATTTTGACATTTTCCGTTGCATCTATTGTTTGGTTCACCCATAACCTGTGTGTCTACTATAAAGATATGCAAAACGCCTACCCTTTTCAGAGCTAAGAAACTGTTCATTAAGTAACAGTAAGAATGGCACCTGTACAACGGATGATACGAAAAATTGTGAAGCGTTCCGTAATTTAGAAACCTTGCCTAGTTTACTACCCTGTCCTAGGCCCCGAAAATGAGGGAAGGTTAGGCATGGGACTAGCGACCCTAGGAGAACCAACCTAGCCGCTACAAAAACGTCAATAGACAGGAATATTAAAAAGATAAACTTATTCATTGCTGGAATCGGAGGGGCGGAATGATACGGGTTGGTGAAGACCTTTGGGAGGCCAGTCAGCTGATAGGTCTCGTTCCGATGAAAGCAAGAGTAAACATGGGGACACGACATGTACCTACAGTATTCTAAGCTGATAAAACTATTCAGATTGCCAAAGAGATGAGAAGATAGGGCACAGAAGTGCTCAGAATCGGAGAGCAGATGAAATGGAAGTAGACTTTCCAAATTTTTAACTGTAGAGTTCAATAATCTACTCCAATCATTCATACGTAACCATGGCCACACTGAGGGAGTGGCCATCATGATGTCACCAAGGGCATCGAAGGTTGTTATGCATTGAAAACCAATCACTTTCAAGATACTGACAGCAAGATTCAACTCAAAAGGAAGGAAAATTAGAATTATGCAATGCTACCCAACTACAAACAACTCAGACCCAGTAGAGAAGAGGGAAGACTTCTCCAAACAATTGTGGACACTAATAGACAAAACTCCAGTTAGACGGTGACATCAAAATCCCTGTTTCATATGAATGCCAAACTGGGAGCCAACAATATAGGAAGATAACTCATCATCTGCCGAGAGGCCTTCGGTGAAATGAATGAGAAAGGAGAACTCTTTGCAGACTTTTCTGCCTTCAGTGATTTAGTGTTTGGTGGCAGCTTGTGCAAACGCAATGATACACACAAAGTGACGTGGTTTCATATAAAAAATCAGATAGACTTCATTTCAATCTCAAGAAAGCGGAGACGCAGCCTGCTGCACACAAAATCGAGAAGAGGAGCAGATGTCTCCTCAGGTCATTGTCTAGTGCAAGAAACCTCGAAGATCGAGTTGAAAGCCTTCAAAGAAGAAGGAGGCAGACCACGATTCGACTTCAACACTCAGAAACCAAAGGATGAAACTGCAAAGGACACATTTACTGAAGCCGTCACAGCAGAGTCGGAAACATTATGTAGCACCACTAAGAAAACCTGTGTTTATGAACACTGGGACTAGATAATAAAGTCGGAGGAAACATGTACAGATGTCTTAAAAAGTGAAGAGGCACAACAAGGGATGGGTTTCTACGGACACGTAGAAGTAAACAGAAGAGAGATGGATGGTGGAACAGAATGATGGACAACTGCTAAAATGGACAAAGAAAGGAGAAACTAAGTCCAATGTACAATTTACTTTTTTTTACAATGCACAGAATAAAGAAATGAAGTGTTAAGACAAAACCAAAGACTATTCCATGACACACTGGCAACTGCAGGTAAGAGGGACCTAAGAACACTGTATCAGAAAACCATGTGGCTATCCAGGAAGAGGGCGATGCAGATGAAACCAATGAGAAATAGTGAAGGGAATCTAATCACCAAAGAGAAGAAAAAGAAACAACAGGTTGGTCGCTTCGAAGGTCTGTCTGTCTGTCTGTTTTCGACATAGAACTTTGCACAAATGTGCGGAAGTTCAAGTCGCCACATTCCGTGTAGCACGCGAAGCAAGAGAAGAAAGTACAAGAAAAGCATAATAGAAACAGTGAGCAGAGGTGTGAGACAAAGGAGTAATAAAGAAATACAAAACAGTTTCGAAGGACTCTCAGACCAACCCCCACCTGCAACTTGTTCAGAAATATCAACCACAACTAGAGAGCTGCAAATGAGTACTAAACCCCAGACAAAAGCAGAAGTATTGAGTGCCACAAAGTTACTGAGTGCCGGGAAGCCAGCAGGAGCAGACGGAATTTTTACGGAGGCACTGAAAACAGAGAGAGAGAAACTTCAGAAGATATCCTTAAGCCACTGTTAAAGAAAGTATTGAAAATACATGTCGAATGGAAGGAGGGCTACCTTGTCAAACCACCAAAGAACAGAAACTTAAGCCTTTTCAAAAACTGGCGCGGAATCATGCTACCGTTGAAGCCAAGAAAAATATTGGGCTAGGTTGTCCTGGAGAGACTAAGATGCTCCGGACGCAAAACTCTGTCTAGAACAAGGTGAACTCAGGAGAAATAAATCATATGGGGATGCAGTACGGTGTGTCCCTCAGATGATATGCATGCCAGCCTATGCTGTTATCTCGATGTAAAGGGATGTTGGGAAATGTCGACCCCGAAAATTGTATATCTCGACATGCTTTGCAGCAATACACAGCCAGTAGTGAGGTCTGATTACAGACGTATTTCCGGGAACCATTTCAAGCAAGATATATGTTCGTCCTATTTCAACCAGTTGTCCTCGGGGTTCCAAGACACTCATGCTGCTTCTGTTTCAGGTATTCCAAGAAGAAATCAAGTTTCACTGTGTGGACAGTTCGGAAGTAACAACAGCCTACACACTTCCATTTGCACGTATCACTCATTTTGTGTAGATAAACTGCTTTGATTGACAGAACCACAACATTTTACAAATTCATAGGCTCGAGACACTTGGATAATAAGTACATTATGTTGTGCATTAACAGTTGTGGAACAAAGCTATAGGAGGTAAACTCAAAACCTTACCGTCCTCTACATTGTAGCACTAATTGAGGGTGAGTAAAATCGCAGATACCGGTCAGAGTTTCTAGGTAGGTGTATTAGTCAATGAAATTCCCAGCTGATAGATGTTCCAGTAAGGTGGACACACTTGTATCGCCATGGTGACATAGTGACTGACTGAGTTTCCATATAAAAATCGTGTACACAAGTGCAGCGATTCAAGCTGCCATAATCCATGAAGTACACAAACGCAGAGAAAAGACAGAAAAAGCAAAAGTGAAGAATAATGAGCAGATGTGTACGGGAGAAAAAATGGTATTATGGGAAAAGATTAAGATCTAATGGACGTGGAATACTGCAAAGAGTTAACGCTCTAACGAGCCATATCACCAACAATCTTCAGTCATGGTTCTTAGCATCCCGAAGACCCCAACCTGGTAGTCTATCCCACTCTATGTGGCTGGCCCAAGCCAATTGTCTAAGAATTCATGTGCTAATGTCAGGTCTAACCACTCCTAACTCTTTTCCAACCTAATCCTACATCAGCTAATATTGCTCATCGAGAGAGACGGTGGATCGGTATGCGTAACACATGTCCTAGTCATCTCAGTCTCACAGATTAACTTCCCTTCCCTACCTAACCATTTCGCTTTATTCAGTCGCAAAAGAGGAGCTTCAATTTTCAAATTTATATTTCATATGAATTAATTTATCCTAAAACTTTTTTCATATTCTAAATATATGAAAAAGAACTATATTTTAATTAAAACTAAGCTGATGTTTGCTGCTGGCTTTGTCTCTCAGGTGATACGCAAAACTACAAACGGCATCTTCAAAGAGAACACATGAATAACAATTCTTCCAACAACAACAATAACCATAAAAAAGAAGAAATCATCTGCATAATTCTTCATTTACTAATTTAACTAAGTCAACAGGTGGTGTGTATACATACCGAGAGAGAAAGGAAAAAAATGAGACTGGGGTACAAAGAGCATTGTGGACTAGGGAAGTCAGCATACACAGATGCATACTGCTGGACACGTTGAATGGAGCAAACAATTTACTTTTCGAAGGACCTGAATAAAAAAAGAGGGAAAACTGAAATGATTGACGCTATCAAAATATTTTACAAGAGGACTGTTATAAATACATAAACAGAATGAAATTAAGTTACACGACAAACAAGCAATTGGCAATGAACCAAATCTATTGTGTAAAAGCTAACGTGATACCACCCCGCTGCTGGCTGACGCTTTCGTAGAGGATAAAAGAGAATTTGAATCTGTAATCTACATATGGTTGGAAGGCATTGAAGCACAACACCTCCACGCTGTTATAAACTGACTCCGATTTAAAGGTTATCTAGTGGAGTCGTTGAATGCATCAATAGATTCAGTCTTATTTGCATAAAACTGTATACTATTCATTGATTGGGCTAAGTACTTGTAACTTCACTTATATCAACCAGTAGTGCTTACTAGCCAGATCGAGGTGATCTCAACACCGGACAGCTGTATCACCTAGATCTGGTTAGCAAGCACTACTTGTTGGTATAAGGGAGTATACAGATACTTAACCCAACCTATGAGCAGTATTCAATTTTATGCAAACATGCCCGCTTTCGTGATTACCACTCATGGTATCAAGCAGATCACAAATTGTGATCTGAATAATTTGGTTTCCAAAGGAAACTGTGGTGAAAATTTCACCCCTTGAACTGTGTACATTGCAAATTGTGAATTCGATGTATTGATTCAGTTTTAATGGGACAGAAAACGTTAGTCAACATAGAACCTCGCACACGAAAGTGTATCTGAACAAGATGATGCTTGAGCGAACAGCTGTTTTCGATAACTTCTTTTTCAGGCTCTACAGCTATAAAGCAATGAATGTTAGTATTGAAATAACCGTCACAGGCAAATGAAGATTATATAAGAAAATGCATTGAGGTACATGTAAATGGTTTAAGCCGGCAAATCAAGTGGGGAAGTGTAGACTTTCTGACCGGTTGTGGCCCTCGGGATGGTAAAAACCATTGAAGACTGGAAAACATTGGTAATATGGTTTAAAATCGTTCTCAATGGCTGGCACACATGCATTAACTCTTTGTGACTTGTCATATCCAACAGAACTTAACTGTTCTTCCATACTGCTACTATTTTCGCCTAACACTTCTATTTATTGTCTGTCTTTTGAATCTCTTTTTACTCTCTTCTCTTTCTTTGTTTGCTACGTGAAGTGTGGCAACTCGTACTGATGCACATCCGTGCAAAGTTCTACGTTGAAATCAATCAGTTAGCCGGTATGTATACAAGTATTATTGTTTCTTTTTGTAAGGATATGGTGGCTGATACTGAAATATATTTTTCATCTCACGTCATTGTGTGTTCTCGCTTAATTGGTGATGGCTGAGGAAACATGCAGCCGTTGTATACTATCGTTGGCGTTAGGCCAGCGATATTCGTTACTACCGCATCTGTGTCGAGCTCAGCAACCCTATTCACCACAACGTAGTGCAAAATATACACAAGTGGCGACAACATAACAATAACACCGTTAACTGAATGTATCTAAAATGTACAGTCATTCAGAACATTAGACTAGATGTGGATAGGTAACAAGGTGACATACTAATGTATTTATAGTCAACAGAATGTAAGTTTCATTGGTGTTGGGGAGTAATAGTGAGCCATATTCAGTAGTGGTGTGAGAGAAACACGATTACTAAAAAATATATACAGACAAATACTAACAAATGGGAAACATTGAATATGTGTTCAAGGGCTGACAGATAACAAATGTGATGACAAAAAGTGTACTCCCAGGTTTTCCCATGGTTCCCTAACCGATGTCAGCACATGATGAAGTCCTGTAAAAGTTTATCTGTTGGAGACTACCGTATTTCAGAATAACAATATAAAAGAAAATAACAGATATAGAAATGATATTATATCGAACACGTGTGGATAAAAGAATGAATAATAGTAATTACATCTGGACTAATGAAAATGTTCACAAATTTTGAAAATAATACTTTGAAAGGATAAATCTCCGCTAATATAAACAATGTCGGACTACACCATTAAACACCTCCAATTATTAAGGACTTTAGATGACTTCAGTTGAATAACCTAAACCTACCTAAATATCTCGTGCATTGCTGTTTCAGGTGGAGAATACTCACCATTTACACATATAGTCTGGGATTCGATTCCCGGCCAACGCACACCCAAACCTCACATAACCGGTAGTGAATTGGGTGTAAGGCTAACAATCCTGCTGAATACTACTGAAACTTCATAGCTCAAGCTTGAAGCCTTGTGTTGTGCTGAAAACGCAAAACCAACCCAAATATCTCAGATTAATAAGCTGGAAACACATAGATTTGTGTCATGTTTCAATATGACGTCAATTACTGAATTTGATTGGTAGGCTAGTCTGTATTGTGAATTTCCATAGACTGAACTAGATGGGACACTAATCACTCCAGAAAACTATTTCTCTCCAGAATAAAATGATGTCATCTCAAGGAGGATTAGGTTTGAAAATCTAAAAGGAGAGCGTCTGCTAAATTTTCTGGGTATATCCCTAACAGTCAACACCATGAGAAAGTTATTATTATTATTGCTCCCTTGGGTTCCTAGTGGAACATAGGGCTTCAACTGCACGTCTCCATTTGCTTCTGTCTTCTGCTGTACTTTTCGCCTGCATCCATGTTAGTCCATATTCTTTCAACTCCTCTTCACACGATCTCCTCCATGTCACCCTTGGACGTCCCACACGCCGCTTCCCTTTCGGGTTCCACTCGAGGGCTTGACGCGCGATGTCACCCAGCGGTCTCCTCAGCGAGTGTCCGATCCATCTCCACTTTCTCCTGCATATTTGTTGGGCGATTGGTTCTTGCTTTGTTTGTTCCCATAATTCCTTGTTGGTGATTCTTTCCGGCCATCTGATCTTCAGTATAGAGCGAAGACAGTTGTTAATAAAGGTCTGCAACAGCTGTTGGAAATATTCTTTGTGACCCGCCCGCAAGTTTCTGATCCGTATAGAAGAACTGACTTTACGTTTGTATTGAAAATCCGAATTTTGTTGGTGATGCTGAGTGACGAAGATTTCCAGATTGATTTCAGGTTGATGAATGTGTTTCTCGCCTTCCCGATTCTCGATTTGACATCCTCGTCCGCTCCTCCTGTAGTTGAGACAATGCTCCCTAGATAAGTGAATGAAGTAACCTCTTTCAAATCCCTCCCGTTGATGGTGATTGACGTTGGATGTTGCTGCTGCTGTTGTTGTTGGTTGTTTATTTTCATAACCTCCGTCTTGTCTATGTTTACCTGGAGTCCTGTCTTTGCTGCTTCTTCGACCAGTTTGTCGGTTTTCGCTTGTAAGTCTTCGATTTTGTGTGACATCAAACATAAATCATCCACGCGCGAAATCCAGGTCTTCTAGGTTCTTCACGTCGGTCCAGGATATTCCTGTCTTCTCGTTTCCCACTGTCTGACGCATAATCCAGTCCACCACAATTAGGAATATCATTGGTGATAGTAAGCACCCTTGTCTGACTCCTGTGTTTACTCCAAACGCCTCGCTGAGTTTTCCGTTGTGGATCACTTGACATGTGCCGTTGTCGTACAGCTGTTGAATAAGGTTGATGAATATTTGGGGTACGCCATAGTACTCGAGTAATTTCCAAATTACTTCACGGTCAACGCTGTCGAAGGCCTTCTCAAAGTCTATAAAGTTGAGGTAGAGGTTTGATTGCCATTCCATGCTTTGTTCTGTGATGATGATGCGTAGAGTTGCAATTTGGTCAGTACATGATTTGCCTTTCCTGAATCCAGCTTGTTCTGGTCGGAGTTCTGTCTCCAGTGCGTCCTTTAATCTCTCCAGGATGATGCGACTCAGGATTTTACTTGGCGTCGACAGGAGCATGATTCCTCGCCAGTTCTTGCAGAGTCCTAAGTCGCCCTTCTTTGGTAGTTTCACGAGGTAACCTTTCCTCCAGTCAGTAGGCACCTTTCCCTCCTTCCAGACCTTTTGCAATAATGGAGTCAGCATGTCTGCTGTCGTCTCTGGGTCCGCTTTCAGTGCTTCAGGGGGTATTCCATCTGGTCCGGCTGCTTTTCCAGCTTTCAGAAGCTTGATTGCGTTCAAGACTTCAGCTCTCGTTGGAGGATTGGTGTCAACTTGCAGTTGTGTGCGCGCTGTTGTTGGTATTTCTGGACGGGTTGCAGGTGATGGTCGGTTCAAGAGTCCTTTGAAGTGATCCGCCCATTGTTTAATCTGTTTTTCTTCCTTGGTAATTGGGTTCCCTTGGCTGTCTTTTATAGGTTTCGCTTGTGATCTCTTCCCGGATAGAGATTTGGTTATCTGATATAGTGTCCTCAGGTCCCTTTTGCCTGCTGCCTTTTCAGCTTCAGTGGCCAGGTTGTCGTAGAATCGTCTTTTGTCCTTCCTAGCACTCTTCTTCACTTCTTTGTCCAGTGCTTTGTAAGTTGAGCTCATCGTCTCCTTCTCCTGTCCGTCCTTGCATTGAATCATTTTCTCTTTCACCATTCTCCTCTCTTCTATTAATTTCCAAGTGTCCGTTGAGAGCCATTCCTTGTCTTGTCTCTTCTTTCTTCCTAGAACCGTTGAACACGTTTCGTTGAGAATCGCCTTCAGAGACTTCCAATGTTCTTCCACGCATGATTCTTCAGTGATGTCGCGTAGTGTTTCCTGCTTTGCTCTGACAGTTGCAGTGAAAGTGTCTTTTGTGGTTGTGTCCTTCAGTTTCTGAGTGTTGAACTTGCATTGTGGCCTATCCCCAGCTATCCTCGAGGCTTTTAGTTTCACCTTGAAAGTCCCTTCTACTAGATAGTGGTCTGAACCCACATCTGCTCCTCTCCTTGACCTTGTGTCCAGTAGGCTCCGTCTCCACTTTCTTGAAATTGAGATGAAGTCTATTTGGTTCTTGGTGTTTCCATCTGGTGAAATCCATGTCGTCTTGTGTATATCCTTGTGTTTGAACACACTACCACCAATCACCAAATCATTGAAGGCGCAGAAGTCTGAGAAGAGTTCACCATTGTCGTTCATTTCGCCGAGGGCCTCACGACCCATGGTGAGTTCTCTTCCTGTGTTGTCTCCTCCCAGCTTCGCATTCATGTCGCCCATCAGGATTTTGATATCGCCATTTGGGACGTTGTCCATTATTGCTTGTAGTTGTCTGTAGAACGCCTCCTTCTTCTCTTGTTCTGAGACGTTTGTAGGCGCATAGCATTGAATGACTGTAACTTTCCTTCCTTTTGAGTTGAACCTGGCTGTCATTATCCTGGAGGAGATTGGTTCCCACTGCATGAGAGCTTTGGCTGCTGTTGGTGACATCATGATGGCCACTCCCTCGGTGTGCTCATGGTTGTCCTCTGGGTGGCCGGAAAAGATTACTGTCTCTCCAGTAGGTAGTTGGCACCTTCCAGTTCCGTTCCATCTGCTCTCGCAGATTCCCAACACTTCTATTCTGTACCTTCTCATTTCAGCGGCTATCTGGGCAGCCTTTCCAGTTTCGTACATTGTACGAACATTCCAGGTACCCATCCTTACTTTTGCTTTCATCGAAAGAAGGCACATCGGCTGACTGGCTTCCCGAAGGCTTTCACCAGCCTGCGTCATTTCACTTCCCCGATTCCAGCGAAAAGTAAGGCTATTGCTTATGTTTTTAGAATTTTTAATATATTTATTCGTTGAAGTTTCTGTAGCGATTTGGTTGTTTTACAGGGGTGGAGTTGCTAGCACCACGCCCCAACCCTCCCTCTTTACCCGGGCTTGGGACCGGCGAGAAAACTAGTAAGCTAGTAGCCTAGCAAGCTAGTATCTGGCGAGGTTAAGTAAAGGAGTGCGTCGGCCGGGGACCGAACCCCGGACCATGTGCATGGTCGGCGAGCGTCCTAACCACTATGCCACCGATGCACTATGAGAAAGTTAAGGAAAGATAAAATATGAGTACACCTGTGGGATAACTTTTTAATCAATAGTTCCTAGTACTTATTGAGAAATGTAGTCCGTTCATGTACTTAGGTGCTCAACCTTTCAGGGTTCGAAAGCCACTGAGCCAACCTCGACCCGGGCAATAAGTGTGAAATATAACCTAGTAAGTGAAAGACTAGTGCGTCAGTGGTACAGCATTTAGGACGCTCACCGACCATGCACATGGTCCGGTATTCGATCCCCGGCCGACGCACTCCTTTACCTCGCTAAGCCAGGAATAATGCTAGTAAAGAGGAAAGGTTGGGCATGAGGCTAGCAACCCCATCCTGCTACAGGAACTTTAAGCCACTAGCTTGAAGCCCTATGTTCCACTAGGGAACGTGAATGAAAAAAAAGTGAGAGACTTGTTCCGGTTGAGGGACTCCTAACTAGTGATTCGGCTACAGCTTCCCTCATAAGTCACACTAATAGTAAATTTCGTGGGTTACTGTTATGATATTGTCCCGATCCCACACCTCAAAATTTATTCGGCGCCAATTATATTATAGTTACATATAGACATCACCTATACAAAACCTAACATCACTGCCCACACTTCATATCTCCACTACTAGGACATTCATAAAATGGACAATAAAAAAGTGAAAATAACAACCAAACGTCACGAAACGCTTTCAGACAGGAGAAGGAAAACTCTACCAAATAACAAAGTAAGATATTACAATTACAATCCAGGCAGAGTCATTGTGGCCAAACCAAAGGGCTACTACTACTATATATAAATTAATAACCCTTTGCTTTCTTCCAGTCTAATCACAGCACAGTGAGGTGGACATTGGAGTGTAAGCATGAGTAACGCATGATCCAGTCACATCATGCAATTGGACTAAATAATATCAGATAGTGTCTTATCTGTCATATTTAGGATGCATGGCCTCATCTGTATTCGAATTCATATTAAAAAAGAGAAAAATGCAGCTTATTTACTTTGTGTTAGAGTTCGTATGGATCGTTTTTCCCTATGAACGACCTTATACGCCGGGAGTGGGTAGACTTCGGTCTTTCGCTCAAAATGTCCTATTTTGGCCACACGTTCACAGTCTTTAACATGCAAGTCTTATTCGCTGCCTTCACGCGGCTGGTGTATTCCCCACAAAAGTGAAAGGGCGAATGTCAGCATCTGACTTTTACAACCGGACTGGTAGACGTGAAGATCGTATCTAACAGAGCTGGAAAATCGCGATTCCAAAACCATGGTGTACATCGGCTCCGGAATCCGAAAGGATCGATGGCGTGTGAGTCTGTTTAGGTCACCGGAAACCACAGGAACGTAGCGCCTGACGCTGCTGCACTGTCTTGTGGACTAGAATTCAAGTCAAAATCTCAGGGGAAAGTGCCCCCCTTAAGGTAACCATCTGCTGCGATCTATGCGTTCTTGTGGTATCCCAGCCCTTGCACCTACTGTAAGGTTTGTATATTACATATCTCAGTGCCAAGTTTGTGTCTTATTATTAACAATAATATACGGCTTTTTTCATCCTGTTTATCACTTATCAGGATTTCAATGAGTGATTATTATGTTCACACTGCGTATTCTGCTCAAGTATCAACAAAAAGTTGGTGGATAGAGTGGTGGTGGTAAATGGAAATTAATCTAGTTCAGTAATTTAAACTACAGTAATGAGTTATGAAATAAAAAGACTCATATAGTACATGATACCCGTTAATTACTTGGGCTTATTAGAAAAACTAACCGGAAAAAATATCTCCAAGAAGAATGGAACTGCATCACCTAAACCTACGTGAAGTAGAGGAACTTTGTGGTTCACCTTCAAAGTGTCGAAAGATGATGAGTACTAGTTAATGTGCTGGAATGCACGACAGTTTTATTCAACTGGAACAGATCACTGATAAACTAATTTTCTCAAAATGAGATAAACTGCTGTCATCTTCTTGTCTACCTCTGTGTGCTATTTGGAAGGTGGCAACTCGAACTGCTGCACTTCGGTGCCAAGTTCTATGTTGAGAGACCAGACAGACAGACATATGATAACCAAAGACAAGTAGTCAATCTATCTTCGTTATAACCACCCTCATAATCGAAAGAAACTTAAACACTTCGACAAATTTTATAGATCCATTGTTAGACTTTCAAGTGACATCAAACAGCAGGCCCTCGGGGGAACTCGAGTGACAAGTGACGAGTTGAGAGTCTGAGGGTGACATAGAGATGATGTGTGAAGCAAAAATGAAAATTTATGTTGACCTCAACGAAATAAAAAACAGCATTGGTTAGCTTTTTCATAACTGCCTAACTACCATAAAATGGAGCAGAGCACACGACCGTTCAGTATTCGCAAACTGTAATCAGTAACCATGTGTTGCACGCGCTATTTGATGAAAGCCAAACGACCGTTTTGATATCCACAACAACAAAAAACTGTTACAACTAGACAAATAAATATAACAGTTAACATGCCAAATCAATCGTCCTTTACATTTGTATGAACCATTACTTTAAGCAGCCAACTTTTGATTTTCCATCATATGTTTAGATTCGACTACAGTATGAATAACGTTAGTGACATAAGTACAACTTATACCTTAAGAACATATATAAGTAAACGAAAAGTGCGCGTATCACTTACTAATATGTTTGGTAAAAAAACTGCTGAATATATCAAAAACGGACTTCTTTAGGTACATGTCTAAAGGACGGCAATTCTCTTAATTTGGTAATCATATCCTTCTCTTTAGTTTCCTTTTCAGCTGCTTCAGTTAACTTCTTCTTTTGCATTCCACTTCCAACTGGTCCATAACGCCTTTCCCATAGCAAGCGATGTTTCTGCTTCATGAATGCGTCCACAACGGTTGTTGACCAGTGCAATTCTCCATCTTTGAAGCAGACAGAAAGAAAGAAACTAGAAAGTAAAAACCGAACATACTGAGACGGTATCACTGTATGTTATATCGAATTAACCAGTCTAATACAGAAACTCATTTTAACATAGTGTGAGATTGAGTGTGGAGGTTTAGGTAAGGAGGCTAAGTCAATTGATGAGGTTGTGAAGATGAATCGATTTAGATGGGTAGGGCACGTGTTGCACGTGCCAAACCATTATCTATCTCGACAACCAATGTTAAGTGATATATAATTAGGCTGAAAATTAGTTAGAAGTGGTCAAATGGAAACCTGCCATCAGTTGATGAGGTCGTTTACAGTTGATTTGAGTCACACAGGAAGACCATTCCTATATGGCTCAGTCGTCACATAAAATAAACCAAAACTACTTTAATGAAAAAGCATTATTACTGAGAAGTAATGGCGATAGCTGGTTAGCAAACTCAGGTGCTGGACAGATATACCTCATATAAAACAGCTTTGCAACCACTTGTGAGTCAGCATAATAAACAGTGAACTATATTTCCTGTATAAGCACTAGTGATTCTACTTGGTAAGTGAAACTACTAAGTTTCTATCAGACTGACTTGATTAATAAGTCTACAGTGTCAATAAGAACTGCTTAAGTTTGAAAAAATATTTTGGTTTTAGTCAAACCTGAGTTCGACGGATCTTTTTCGAGAGCTACAACAACAATACTTACGCGTACGCTTAACTTCATTGATTTATAAGGTTTTGCAGCTTAGTTACTCAAATATCAGACAAGATGCATATCACATATACATACGTACACGCCAACTTTTGTGTACATCATTCGTGAGTTGCCAAGCCACCTATGATGTATGTCTATATAAAAAATGGACTAATCATACAATGATCAATAAGGACGACCAAATCAAATCAAACCACAGAATACAATAATATGCTGAATAAATAAAAGATTTGCGAAATGGACGTTTTCCAACGAAAACATTTCTTGCTTGCCATTTTGGTACATTTTACACTAAGGATTGAAGTTGATAGTGTTGTTGCTCATATGAGGCATGTATTTACAATTAAATTCCCGGTTGACACTAACCAACTTAAGTCTAGGCACAACATAGGATATGGAAATAATTGATGTAGCTGTGTTCTTTGGGATGGATGGTTTATTTGCAGTTACCATATTCCCCTAAGAGCAAATATTCAAGGCGCACATCAAGATGAAATGAGCTTCTCTGAGGATGGTACAACTGTCTCTCTCTTGATGATCTTGGATGTAATTGGTCATGAATTGGTATTCGCATTAGACAATGAAAGCTTCGTAAATAAACCATGCAGCTAAGGGAACACAACTACACCAAAATCATCCACCTAAGTTACAGTTCTCTATTTATAGAAACTGATTGAGATATTAATAATAACAATAACATAGAACGTACATTTTATGTAGTAATTGACAGCTGCCTCTTCGTAATCAGTAAATAATGGAGCACAGAATCGATCTACATCTTCTTGATCATATTTATACCATTCTTGACACTCAGATTTACGATTTCGAAGAATTTTGACAATATTTAAATCTACTAGTCTGTATTTTTTTTTAAAAGGTACAGTAAATAAAACAATTAACTGTCAATAAACGGTTAGTTAACACAGTAAAAACGGCATGAATAAAATTAAAACTGGTCCTGGTATGAACTGACATCCACTCACAGAGTTCCCGAAGGTGAGGACTTTCTGACTGGGGTCGTTAGGGATCAATGAGTTGGAACAAGTCTCAAAATCCTCTTCAATGACGCAGATTTATTCCCCCCTGTAACCCTTCCATTCCATTGAATCCTCATGATCCTCCTTATAATTAATTCTTTCATTCATTCTTTTGAATATTTTTCCTTACCCTTGTATGCTACATGCAGTCTAGAAACCTGAAGTGCTGCACTTACATTCAAAACACTGCGTTGAAAACGCAGTCGTTTAGTCAAGCTAGTTTTTGTGCTTAAGGTAAACAAGTTATGATAACTGTTTACGACACTTCCCAAACAAATTCCAAACGAATATCAAAATAGGTTTTGTTTTTTAGATTTGTTTTCGTTCACACCAATAACGCATATACCGATCATATCTACTGCTTCCGCATCCAAATCCCCAAGAATTATCGTATAATAATGAGTAAAAAGCATCTATTAAGTAGTATTAGAAACATTTTTGAGGCCAATGCACTGGAACGTTTGGCAAAATCACCGAGTCAGGATACAGTAAGAATAAACTCTGGAAACATACTGATGGCGATGTATAGCTGAGTGTAAAAGTTTATCTGACAACACTTAATACAGGGTAAAACTGCTCAACAAGGTTTCATACAAAGAGAAAATACCTGAGGAATTATTTAGAACTTTAAAATCCAGCCCACCTAATTAGAATTGCAAGTCTATACATATGTGCAAACGGATAATAATATGAACCTTACATTTCAAATGTATCTAACAACCTAATGATTAAAAAAGTACATCTACTATTTCCTAATATTATCCACCTACTTGTACATCGGACGGAAATTTTAGAACAGTAGGCATCAGTTAACTACCTTTCGAGACCAAAATACACATACCTTATCAGGTATGATAAACGTTAACACAATATTGAACTTAGTACATTGTTAAACCTTAAACCAAAGAGACAAGTGAGTCACAGGTAGTAGTTAAAATTCACTGGGCGAACGATAAAGAAAATTTTTCTAATGAACAGGTCTACAAATAGTTGTTTGTCTGTACATTACTCTTACCACTCAAAAAACTACCCTTAAGTAAATTCAGTGTTGATTCACGATTACTATACTACTTTACAACGTTCAACTTATAGAATTATGGGGAATATGGACAGAATACCCATGAACTAAGACAGACTTAACTCGGAATTGAAGCTGAAGGACAACATACCCTAAGTTAAAGAAGTCTTGATAAATCTTTTTTCAGCCCGCATTCCACATTTGAACTTAATATCGGTTAAAAGCTTACTCATTGTTAAAAATACATTAAATACCTATGAGTATACTGCATGTGGGAATTTAATAATAACTTAGGGGTGTCCATGTCAAGGAAAACTACAAAAACCCCGAAATGGTGCCATATAGGAGAAATTTATGAATATTACTGAAAACCAACCGATCACGAAGATACTGCTTATTGGCCTCTTGTATGCATGCCAAATCGTTGACTTGACATTGGTCTATTGTTGGGACACGAGGGAATCGTTTATGATAATATGGATATGGTTTCCGAAATCTCTCAACAACTTGGTCTGTGAAAATATAGTAAGGGATTTTACAGTTTACCATGAAAAAATGTCACAGGCTTGTCAAAGAATAATCCCAGTAGTCTATTAAGCCTTCCGATGTAGCTAGGTGAGAATTCTTTATAAAGATCTTCTCTAGTCACATCAGCATGATGATCATGGCCTTCACCACCTCCCATAGTAGCGTAGCATATATATTACGCGCGTAATTCACTGAAAGACGCTAACTTGAATTCCTTTTTCTGATCTTATGAGGCTGGACTTATCCGGCATGTTGGTTAAATTTCGCTCGGTAAATTCTGTTTGTCAATAATTTTTAATAAAGTTTTGGTATATGTTTTCTGAATCGATAGGAATTCTCATTTCGTGGCTAGTTATGTTGGTGTCCGCGTCATGTAATCACACTGCGATACACTCTAAGCGTATGGGTTGTAACGATTAGTTTTTCATGCTGAATGAGTTAAAACATCGGTATAATAAAAAAGATGGGGTAGTTGGTGAGTAGTGTCGTCTACACAAATAGTTTACTTCTTTTAGAAGCTGCAGCTTTCGACATAATATCATTCAATGAAGACCACGTCTAAATGTGGCTATTTTCGTGTGAAGAACACTACTATTTGGCAAAAGAATGCTATCAATACATGGGAATCACCTACAAATACCAAAAGAACCTCCTGTGGGAACAGAAGTTATGATGTAGATCTGTCTTTCACTGCATGTGTGTTTGGACAGGAATAACGGTAAGTTGAAAGGTTATCTCTAAGTGGATCTAATATATATTTACACTGATTGGCGCAGTATAATATGGGCTATGTGATTTCAATGTATAAAAGGTACCTTTATTAATATCGTGCCATTGTGTGCTTAGCTGCTCCTAGGCTAACAAACGTAGGTGGTTCTCATGATTGTTACAAGTGCAGTGCATATGAGAAGGCAATAACTCGTTTAATTCTACTCACTGATTCACTTAGTGCAATTATTCAGTGTATAGTAATAATATACACATGCTTTGTGTTGATTACGGGAATTGAATCTAGTTAGCTCTATTATTATTATTAATCTATAGACGGTATACCGTCTGACACTGTAAACTTAATACTGCAAAGTTTTTGATCACCAATAGTGGAGATGGATTTCTTCTGAAATTTCCATTTACCTGAAACAGTACAGATGCAGTATCACGATTGAATGTCTAGGCCGCATTATATTTCATTGTTATCCTCATCAACACAACAGGTCTGCGTATCTTACAATATTTTTTGTTTCTCTATGTTGTTAACACTGCATAGTTGCTCAGAGTTGAGGCATGTTCAGCTTATATTTGATGACTACAGATTCCTAAATATGAGAATGTAATTTGTGTAGGACTCAGAAAACTATGATCACTAGACATTACTGAGATTGTGGATCAATTTCAAAGCTACACATTTGCAATACCTCATTTAACGTAGACGTATTCAGTATGAAATTGATGAGAGGATGACGTCTCAACATTATGGGTGTTTCAGAGTTCATCTTGAAATTTGCGTGTAATCCTCTAATCCTGGACAACTTATGAGGTCTATTTATGCATACGGCGTCAGTATAAAGACCAGCTGTGGACTACAAATACTTTTAATTGTATGAGAACTTTACTCAGTATTAATATAATCAGTGTATACTAATATATAAAATTATCTTTCATAAATTCGTGTTTTGCTTCATATTTTAGGTATATGGAGGATGTGGAATGTGAAATCAGTGAAAATGTCGATCTGTCAAATGAACGCCAATACCCTTCATCAAAATTTTCTGTAAATTAAGAAAATGTTTAATATACTCATCATTTCTACTTCTTTTGCACTTCTTCAGCGCGTCGCTATACTATGAGTTTTGTATTACGTGAATTCGGTTTAATATATGCTAAGCCTAGTCAGTGAAATGGAGATTCACTATAGTATGAGATCTACCTTAATCATTAATACGAATTCGCGTCTGTTTCTATACAATAGCATATTGTAAAAACTAAGTAGCGTCAATGGAGTTGAAGATTGAACGATCAATTCTCGGTTGTTTGCTCAAAATCAACTTCCCCAATTTTCGCGGAGGCATCAATACGACAGTCATCGTCTCGTCGGTCGCTGTTCAGAAAGAAGTCAGTAGCAAACCATCAGAAGTAATCTTATGATTTATTATTGTAACATTTGTTCATAGACCTTAGTTCAATTATTATTTTTATATGTTGGTGTAACAATAAAGAATTCTCAAGCGGCCAATCGGTGTTTTGGTTTTTTCGTCCGTTATAACTAAACGTTTCTGAAGACTTCAAGGAACAGCGTGGGCCCGAGCGTAGCAAGAGCTGGGCATTAACGGTTTATGATATATGGCTTACAAGTAGGATTTAGCAAGTTGAATAATAATTCCGTAATTTTCTTTACGCCTAATTCGCCTTATTTAGCCTATTGCAAGTCTGTGTACTGGTAAACGCCAAGTATGTAGCACAAGTAAATGTGGGATATTAGGGTTGATGTCTACTTCATTATTCAGTTAATATGCATTGGCATCCTCAAATAGACTGTCTACTTGGCAACGAGCTAAGAAACAATTTTTATTTATTTCTGATATGCTGTTAAATCATGTGATGTTATCTAATATCCATCATTTCTATGATGAACAACTGCAGTGTTTGAATATCTCTTTTGTTAAGCATGCCGATGATCTAACTATTTCAATGTCTGTCAACTCCCAGCTAAACAGTACTAAAATGAACAGCTTTCTATCAGGAATTAGCAAATGGTCTTCGTCTAACGGCCTTAAACTAAATCCTTCAAAATGTCAGGCGGTTAATTTCAGTTTTAGATGTAAAAGTAACTGAAATGGAGTTGTTAGTTCCCATTACCGTCGTATATAATTTATGAGTGATATAGAAATCCAGTCCTATGTTAAGTATCTTGGATTAATTCTTTCTTCTGGCAAATCCTGTCATTCCCATGTCTAAGCGATTTCTAAAGTAATATTTCGTCTGACTGTTCACATTAGGAAGTTAAGGCACTCAAGCATAACTCATCCCTTCCTCTTACAGTTTATCAGTTCGTGCATCTTACCCATGCTCGACCTGTTTTTCTTGCTTTAATCATGATACAACCGTGTTTCGCGGAACTCATCACACAGCGTATCAGCCTTAAATGTATACTACATGCAGGTATAATGCTTATGAGCTAGGTATGCAAATCAAAGTAAACGTTTGTACGGTGCATTCATTATTTATAAGACTAACTAGTATGTAAGAGCTACGATTAGACCAGTTATACAACCTTTAATATATTTGGACACAATTAACCTACGCTGCTTACTTCTATGACGCATTACCTAAAGCTACGTAGTTACCTTGAAGTTATTTCCGCTGAAGGTAATCACGCTTAGCTACCACCTTACGCAGCAACTTAACGTTATCTTTGAATTTCAAAGTAAAAGCGGACATCCTGGGAACCTTCTTGGTAAAAAAAATCGTCTCCTAGTCGAAAAAATGAATACATCCTAATCTTCACGAAAGCGTTTAGAGGTATTCATCCGGTCACCTCAAATGGCTCACTATTTGCAGACACTTAAAAAGTAAGAATAAATTTAAGGAAGACCGTATGCTTATGACTTCTAGATATCATAATGTACCATGAGGGAATACCTATATCCATAGGGTTATAACAGTTACAAGCGCGATATTAACCCGAAACACGACGACTACGATTCTTAATCACAGAAAATCCTACTTTGCTACCTAATCTTCTAATAGTATTAACAGATGTTTCACCAAGAAAAAGAAGACCAATGGTTTCAAGAAAATTTATTTAGTTTTCTTAAAGACCATGGGCATCCATATTTATAGCCACGGAGAAATCGCAAACATCCACAAAATAGGAATTTCATTATTTGAAATTAAGCAAGCAATCTGTATTCAGCCATTATTTTCACCCCGAATAATAATCAGCTTCTCAGCTTGTTGTAGACCACAACCCGAATGTTATTCTCGCTAATTAAAGTCTTATCTTTAACTGGAATAGTTCGTAAACTCACCAGATTATCATGTTATCCTCTTTTGAAGTGGTTTTGCAACACACTGAATGGCTGTTAACAACGGCTTTGCTACAGGCGGTCTTAGTTCATGTATTTCGATCTAGTACATTGGGCATTAATAAGGATGGGTAACACTTACCATTCAGGGGGTTCTCATTGCTTTCAAGTTTCCTTCAGTTCCAAAACTACATACAGGCACAACAGATTCATACTTCTCATGTGACTCAACCTTGTTTGATATAGATTCTCTGACAATATATCCGATTCTTTAACTGATAATATACACCGGTGGTATACTCAGATTTTCGAAAACCTTCAAAGATTTTTCAACTTCAAACCACGTTTTGAAATATCCAGGTTGAATATGCTCTTTGTAAACCTAGCCAATATCAAACCTGATCGTAATCTCGTCACCAGATTGAATCATAGATTGCTGCAAGCTGTAAACATGCATGTGAAAGACAGAATTTATCAGATCTCTACATACCAATTATTCGGTTGAACAAGAAACAATTGTGGAGTCCTCAAAAATAAACTTATCCAATTTTTTACTACTGTGTAAGAAATGAACATATTGTACATTACTTTGTTTTAACCATAAACTCTGTACTTCGAACTTTACCTCGGGTTTTGAATAAATATATAGTTCTGACTCCGACTCTCCGCCTTCTCCACCGTCTCAACTGCCGTCGATCAATTTCAATCACCTGCTTTCTACCTCAAATTTTTGCAGGAGCACCGTAGTTTCTTCCTACGTACTTTGGTCAACCTCCGGAGACGTCAACATTGGAGAATTAGTACTGGAGCAGTCTTTCCGCAGCGCCTCTGGAGTCTATTACGTTTATTGTGGATTTTGGATCTTTGTAAACCCAAGTAACCAAACTTTAATGTATTCTTCCCGTAACTAAACTGATTTGGTATTTTATTTTCTATTTGAATTTGGGTAACTAAGCTAACAGAGTAATAGGTCCACCACAATAATTGGTGAACCCGTTTCGAACCTTTTTTCGATGGTTAACCCGTTTTCGAAAATTTTTGTTTCGATAGTTAACTCGTTTTGACTTTTTTTGTTGCTATTTTGGCCTTATAAACTCGCATTGCTTTAATTTTTGTTACCACAAGTTTTGCT